CTTCACTTCCTGTCCCATTGCCAAAACAAGAAGTGAGAGGAAATCCTTGCAAATTAAGAGAATCCCTAGGGGACTCCCAGGTCACCAAAACTAGTGCCTTCTTTGGAAGGTTTCCCATCTACTACTTTTCTGGGAGCAGCACAAAATTTGGGATTTTCTTCTACCTTTAATGATAATGGTAAATAGTACAAAAAAAAAAAACAGGGTAAGTCTCCCTAACAGCACAGACAACAATAAAAACCTTAGGTGTTCTAATTCCACTCTACTCTATCCAAAATTTAAAAAAAAAGGACAAAAAAAAAGTTTTGCCTATAGTTGTACTTTAAGCATATTTTCTAACAGCAACTAGTACAAGTACCTGAATTTGACTTGGTATGAGCCTTTTACTGTATGGGGGGTACAGTAGAGCTCAGGCTGTGAGAAGGAAGAGCAGCACAAGCAGCCAATAAGGTGAACTGCATGCAAATATGGTGACAAGGAACATTCTGATATTAAGAGAGAGCAAAGTAACAGAGAAAAATCCATCAGTCTGCTGATTCTTCCTTGTCCAGTCACAGGCTGGGTCAGTAAAGAAAAACCAAGTCTCCTGGCTGGCTCTACACTCTGGCATTGGATAGAGAGAAATATAAAATTGTTTAGCAGATAAACTAGGATGAATACATGTATTGATCTGCGCATTTTGTTGATTGCCTGGAGTTCAGCTTTTAAAAAAAAATGGCCCTGTGAAACTTTGTTAAATAGGTATACTATATTTGCTGCAAAGTCCCTTTTGCAGGTTACATGTTATTAAAAATTATCTTTAATTGCAATCTGCAGCTGCTGCAATTTTCTAAAACTGACAACACCAAAAACGTTGCTTTCTTGTACTGTAATAACGAATTGGCAGTCTGTATGATGTATGAGTACATATCTTACCCAGAAATCTAAGTTCCTTTTTGTGTTATTACCTCATTGCTTTACCAGAAGAGAGTAGCTAAATATCTGATTGCAGGTATCCTCTGCAACAGTAATCATTTTCAGTGACATATCTTCTAACACTATTCCACACCTGAAAGTGTGTGAAAGTCTTTGGAAAGATTTTAAATATGTTCTTTTGCACTATAGCACTAAAAGTGTAAAGGCTAAGTTCACCTTATGTCACATTTTACACCCATTATTCATTGTGCCAGCGGGTGAGGGATCTTCTTCGTGCACCAGCTCACACAATTCAAAAGCAGCACGGCCATGCAGGGCTCCCCCACACGACCATGTCATTCATTCACAGTTTTCTGTGACTGCATGAACTACAACTACAGACAGCCATTGCAGCTGACAGCTTGAATTTCTAAATGAACTGCGAGTTTGCTGATGAGTGGCCTTGTTCATTTGCAGGGCTTGTCTGCACTTGTCCACTCACCAAGGGTGCAATGCTTTCCAGGCTCCTTAGGGAAAAAATAAATAAATGCACATTTTTTTCCCAGCAAAAATTTGTGCACTTAATATTTTTTCCCAGAAGGTGAACTTATCCTTTAAAGTGAACCTGTGGTCAGGCTATGAACAGTCAAGTATTTCCATATTTTAAACATACAGTAAATAAGCAAGCCTTCACTGTCCTCTATAGCTGCAGGCACTGTAGAGCAAATCATTCTCAAAATGAAGAAGCACCAAAATCATTCAAGTGGAACTCTGGGCACCTCAGCTCGCAAAGCTCTTGTACCAGCCTTCTAATCTCTAATGAAAACACAGAGCAGGAGTTCTGTGTTTAGCGTGAGAAGGAGCACAAAAAGGTGAGCATGATATGGCAAGCATGAATTTCTTTATAACTGGAATAAAGCTTTAAAAATACTTGCTATAATCCTTGCAATGTATACAGTTTATATGCAAGGAATCATTTACTTTTTAACAAAATTCAAGTTATATCCCTAATGTCCCTTTCAGGTTCCTCTGTTTATGTATGGCTTCAGTCCATGCACACCAGTTTAAAAAATTGCTGCTTGTACAGGAGTTTTGTGTTTTGCCTGTAGAAACAGCTCAATGTTATCCTATGTGTCCCTGCACATTAAGACGTTCAGAGGCATATTTTAAGCTCAGCATTTAGAAGCAGAAAAAAACCTCTTCTGGTTTGCATTTTTTGAGAGACGTTTTCTGGCAGAAAAAAAACACTAAATGCTTCTAAATGCTCTTAAATGATTGAACACATACACTCTATATTTTTTTTTCTGCCAAAAGAACTGGTGCTTTTCTTAGGCCCAGTGTACATGGACCCTATATGTACTTAGATGTGCTTTGCTCTTGATGACACACACATTAAATTCAAAGACAAACAGCTTACATTAAAAAGCATAATAACATTTTCTCCAAATGATCATATCCAGAAAAAGCTCATTCTATGGTCACTGAAGACAACTGCTTTGCCTGTACTCACTGCAGCAGGTTAATGTAGGTCTCCACTTCTTTCATATCACACTGAAGCCAATTTTTCTTGAAGCCAACAACAAGAGTATTTGGTCTCATACGTCCTAACCCAGCAGCCTATAGTTCAAAGAGACAGTAAATGGTTTAGTCAGTAGTTTGAAGCACATTTACCTTACCCAACTCTGGTGAAAGCCATTTATCAAACTCCTTTAATCCTACCTCCAGCTTTTCTTTCAATTGAAATAGTTTGTTTGGGCAAGGCTGGCCCAAATGGACTATTACCCTTACTAATTGCTGCGGGTGCTATTAATGCCATGTAAACTGTATGTAGCATTAGTTACATACAGTTTACAGCATAGTGCTCCAGCAGCAGTACAGGTATTTCCCATCTAGTGCTAGAACAAAATCAAGTTGGGCTGGGTACTACTCAGCCATTCACAAGGACCCTTGTATTTTTATCAATGAATACAAGGTTTCCTTTGAATGGTCGAGGTGGAGAGGCAGGCAGATAACATCACAATCTCCACCTCAGCCACTCAGAGGAAGCCTTGCATTCATTGATAAAAATATGCATGACTTAATTTTGTTACGACAGTAGATGGTAAGTTCCCGTACTGCTGCTGGAAAAAAGAGCTGCAAAATGTATGTAGCTGATGCTACGTACAGTTTATATGATGTTGACAGCAGCTGTAATAATTAGAAAAGGAAATAGTTTGTTTTGACCAGCTTACCCCAAACTAACTATTTAACGATTTAAAGTGAAAAGAAAGGTACAATTGGGCTTTAAGCCAAGCTGCAAGAGCAGCCTGCAACTATTATATTTCGGATCAAGAGACTATATTGTGTATTTTCAAAATCCTATGCACAAGGTCTGGGTAGACCTATATAATAAATACTTAACACCTTCAACACCAGAGGCAAAGTGGCCAAAGGAATTTCCATGTTTTCCACATAATTATATTAAAACCTTGAGTGTGTATATGTATATAACATGTACATCCCAAACATTAACCACAAACGTAATCCTAAACCTAATTTAAGATGTTGCTATAGTCCTAAAAAAGACCTATCTGAAACCATGAGACTTTTTCTGCATGGCTTTACAACTGTAAACAGACAATAAGCGGTAAGAGGGTATCTGTAAGCTGAAACAGATAAATAGACGGAAAACTTTAAATAATACCTCTAAACAACAACAGAGGAAGTTGCCAAAACTGAAGCAGTCAGCATATGAAGCAGCCATGCATAGTAAGCAATCAGCGTTTAGCATCAACTTGTTCAGTTAAAGGCCAATTACACTTAGCACTATGTTACACTCATATTTAGAGTTATCCTGTGTCAGCATGAAGGGGTTTTTCTCCTCCTCAGAAGCTGTTGCTTTAGAAATTGACATGGTTGTGTGGGGTTACCCGCATAGCAGCATCATTCACCTGATTGAATGAACAAGTCCCTTCTGAAATCGAGGCAAACGGACTTGTAGTTCTCAATAGAACACAAGGGTGGTAAGCACCACACTCGTAGTCCATTGACACCTCCTCCAGCTATAAAACTGAAAGTCTGTACCTTGGTACAAACATAGGGTTGGAGGAAGAGTTTGAAGAAGCCCTGGCATTACACCTGCAACCCACTGAACACCGATGCAATTCTTGGCAGGCTCCTATGCAAAAAAAAATTAAATAAAATAAAATGTAATTATTTTCTCCCTCAAATATATTTGCATTTATTATATTTCCGCAAAAGGTGGACTTGGCTTGGCAAAGGAACACTGAAAACTAAAAGCTGATTGGTTGCTATGCACAACTGCTCTAGATTCTTGCAGCTCCAGTCTTAGTAAAGTGCCCCCAATGTATTTGTAGAAATAGATTATATTAAAAGCTTTTTTGCACCAGTGGAGACCTTCAATGTGGAAATGCATAAGACGCAATGCACTTTATCTTCCATTGGTTGAACACAGCACTCCTTTTCAATGGTCCACAAGGCAGGAGAAATCACACTCCTGCATAAGCGCTGCTCTGTGCTATCTCACATAAAAAGCAATGGTCTGTCTCTGCAGTCTGCTGCCCAGGAAGAGAACTTTATGCTGCCACTAAAGCCAAGGGAAATGCAAAATAAATGTACAATTCTTGCTCTCTATACTTGTGTTTAAAGGAGTCTGCACAATCAGAACATGGCTTTGTGCTTCGGAACCCATGCATCTCACTTTATCTACGTCTAAGCCCGAAGTCATACATTAGGTATATGTGTGTAAACAGATTAGAAGCCCATTTCTAGGAATTATGGTTATTTTCAAGGAATAGTAAAGAGAGTTGGATAATGGTTTTACCTGCATGAGATATTGGGCTCCATCCCTCAAGTCTTCAGCATGCACTGGAGAATAGAAGGCTTTGGTTTTTTGTTTAATAAGCCATCGCTGATATCTAGCTTGATCTGTAAGCATTTCCTTTAGTGCTTGCCTACGAGGACCCTGTTCAAAGGAAAACCAAAAGAAAGAAATATTAATAAAAAAGCATTTAAAATCTTACATTATATAAAAGGTACATGCAGGAAAAAAAATTGCAGAAGTTAAATCAGGTATGAAACTGGAGAGCTCCAGACCAGTGCACTTACTAAAGACAAAAAACAGGTCGTATTATAACAAAATATACAAACAAGAAATGAAATAACATATAGGTACATCTTACCATATGCACATGTCCACAGATCATCAAGCCAACATTCTTTGTAAAGGCATGAACTAAGTGAAGAAGAGCTGGCCGTGAATTTGGTGCACCAGTCATAACAAGACACTGTGGCCTAATGGAATAAAAAATAGAATTGTCAGGCTGTATGCAACTAACTACTGTGTTGTTTAGCTAGAAGCTTGCTAGAAATTGCAGATTGCCAAAAAAATATTCTATTGCAAATGTCTGCAATAATAATTTTCTAAAAACAAAATATTATATATTAAATATTAGGTTCATGCCAACCTGCTGATTGCTTGATACTGGTTTCTGCACTGGATTACTGAATAAGTGCACAAGTGTGAACACCTGTACATTTGCAGCAGGAGACATGTACCATCCAGACTACTTTGTTTTTTACCTGAAGTTTTTCACATGGTCTTCCACACCTGCCAGTCGGACGGTGTGTTGTAGTGCATTCAGATAGGTCAAAGCTTGTGTTGAAGAACCCCAATTCACATCTGAAATAAAATGTAAGCTTTATTATAATATTCTATGCAAAGAAGAAATACTTATGTTACAGCTCATGCAAACAGCCTCAGAGTCAACTGAATCAATGGATCTGTGTTGCTGATTTCAAGGAGTTTCTTCAAACTGCATCAAGTTCTTTTCAAAGAGTAGGGGCATGGCTGAGTAGGGAAAATGAAGAGGCATGCTTCTCAGAGCTCCTGCATGTGTGCCTTTAGCAATTCTTTTCCCATAGCAATCCTATCCCATGGACGTGAGCTGAGGCTCACCCCCAGATCCTTCCTGTCTCAAATACACATGGTACAACGGTTTCTTTGGTCCTCCACGACCTGAAACAAACGCCTGGACGCAACAGCCTCAAAGCACCACACCACAGGCACTCTACTGCTTAGCAAGTCCACTGACAAGACCTGAGAGGCAGCAGAACAGTTGCATCAGCTTGCTAAAACTCCTGGCAAGGATGGGGGGGCACACTGAGATACCTTCCCTGTGTAAACACAAACCACCCTGCCAGCCAGACTCGGAAAGAGAGGGAAGAATTCCCAGGTGCCACCATCTTGACGTGAAGGCCACTATATTCTCTCAAATTCATATTTCAGCTCGCTGTCTGTTCTGCCTACAGGCCCTTGGCCAAGCATATGACCACTGTGATTGACTGCCACAGTGGTCACATGATTGAGTGCTGGTCCCGCTGGACTCATATTATTAGTACAGAATAATAGCCATCTTTGCCTGGAGTACAAAACCAGTGTGTTCTCAGCAGAGAAATCTCTGCCATCCATGGACGCATATGTGCAGTGTGAGAGAGCTAAAACAGACCCTCTTTGTCACCGCACATATGTGCTATATGGGCCATAAGAGATAAACATCAAAAACGATGAGGTCACTGTGTAGCACTCCAACAAAATCCAGGTTCTGTAGCAGTTAGCTATTCATGCGGTAGATTGCTATGGCTTTGTATTACAATCTGATCACATAATTTTGCGCACTTGCTGGTTGAGTAAAGGCTCCACTCAGGAATTGCTGTTTTTTTTGTAATTGTAGGTGCCCACACACAATGTACTATGGTTTACCAACGTTACTCAGCACTGTACATATTACTACTATTGTTTATTGATCATTTTTGGACTGTGGTTACAAAACAACACTAAGAGAAAAGTCAGTTTCTTTTGTTTTTGTAATTTATATATACATTGCTCAAACAAATTAAAGGAACACTTTTTAGTTTATAGCATCAAGTCAATTAAACTCCTGGGATATTGATCTGGTCAGTTAAGTAGCAAAGGGGTTTGTTAATCAGTTTCAGCTGCTTTGGGGTTAATGAAATTAACAACAGGTGACCTAGATGGGCAACAATAAGACAACCCCCAAAACAGGAATGGTGTTACAGGTGGAGGCCACTGACATTTTTTGCCCTACTCATCTTTTCTGACTGTTTTTCACTAGTTTTGCATTTGGCTAGGGTCAGTGTCACTACTGGCAGCATGAGGCGACACCTGGACCCTACAGAGGTTGCACAGGCAGTCCAACTCATCCAGGATGGCACATCAATACGTGACATTACCAGAAGGTTTGCTGTGTCTCCCAGCACAGTCTCAAGAGCATGGAGGAGATTCCAGGAGACTGGCAGTTACTCTAGCAGAGCTGGACAGGGTCATAGAAGGTCCTTAACCCATCAGCAGGACTGGTACCTGCTCCGTTGTGCTAGTAAGAACAGGATGAGCACTGCCAGAGCCCTATAAAATGACCTCTAGCAGGCCACTGGTGTGAATGTCTCTGACCAAACAATCAGAAAAAGACTTAGTAAGGGTGGCCTGAGGGCCCAACATCCTCTAGTGGTCCCTGTGCGCATTGCCCAGCACCATAGAACTCGATTGGCATTTGCCATTAAAACCAGAATTGGTAGGTCTGCCAACTGTGCTTTTCAGATGGGAGCAGGTTCACCTTGAGCACATGTGACAGACGTGAAAGGGTCTGGAGAAGCCGTGGAGGGTGTTATCTTGCCTGTAACATTGTTCACCACTGACCCACCACCAAAATGGCTATGCTGGTCTGTGGAGGTACCCTGACTGCCATTATGTCTCAGGATGAAATCCTTGGATCCATTGTCAGACCCTCTACTGGTGCAGTGGGTCCTGGGTTCTTCCTGGTGCACAACAATGCCAGGCCTTATGTGGTGAGAGTATACAGGCAGTTCCTGGAGGATGAAGGACTTGATACACTGAATGGCCCCTCACGCTCGCCTGACCTAAATCCAATAGAATACCTTGCGGATATCATGTTTTGGTCCATCTGACACCGCCAGGTTGCACCTCAGACTGTCCAGGAGCTCAGTGATGCCCTGGTCCAGATCTAGGAGGAAATACCCTAGGACACCATCTGTCATGCCATTAGAAGCATGCCCTGATATTGTAAGGGTTGCATACAAGCACGTGGGGGCCATACCAACTACTGAGTACCATTCTGAGTTGCTGCAATGAAATTTTAGCAAAATGGACTAGTCTGCCACATCATTTTTTCATTTTGATTTTCGGGGTGTCTTTGAATTCACTCTTCTGTAGGTTCATCATTTTCATCAAATGATGGGGCATCCTTACATTCGTAACACATCACCCAGTCCAAATCAGTACAGATATCCAGCATGATATTTTTCCTCATTGAGATCTGATGTGTTTTTAAAGTGTTCCTTTAATTTTTTTGAGTAGTGTATTTCCAAGGCAAAGAGAAAATAGAGATGTCCCTGTATAATAAACTGACTGAAGTCTTCACAGGAAAAATCCCAGGCAGGAAGAGAGTCAAAGCTTTTGGTAAACTACGCAGCAGCAAGACAATGTGCAGTGCAGGAAGGATCTCAGACACATTTGTATTCAGTTAAAAAATGTGGTTACTGTCTGTGCTTTGTCACAGTGCAGCTGTCACTAGGCACCTGTAGAACACTATTCTGGTGCTGATAAACTTCAGCAAATCATCACTTCATGCAGCTATGGCCACATGAATGACTCCACTCTTTTGACTAACTCAACATTCTAAGACATGGCAAAAGACTGTCTTTATAGAGTGTGGAAATGGAGCCTGCAGTATGGATAAATCTCCAAATACTAAATATAAGTATTATATTTATAGAGCTTTTTTGATTAGCTCTGAAGACTTACATAATATGACCAGCTCTGAAGACTTACAGTGGGGAAAATAATGAATTTATCCCCTGCAGATTTTGTAAGTTTACCCACTTACAAAGAAACAAAGGGTTTATAATTTTTATCATAGGTGTTTTTTAAATGATAGAGACAAAATATCAACCAAAAATCCAGAATAACCATGATACAAATGTTATAAATTGAGTTTGCAGTTCAGTGAGCAAAATAAGTATTTGATCCCCAAGCAAAACATGACTTAGTACTTGGTGGGGAAACTCTTCTTGGCAAGCAGAAGTAAGAAGTTTCTTGTAGTTGGTTACCAGGTTTGCACACATCTCAGGAGGGATTTTGCTCCACTCTTCTTTACGGATCTTCTCTAAATTCTTAAGGTTTCTTGGCTGTCGCTTGGCAACTGAAAGTTTCAGCTCCCTCCATGCATTTCATGTAGAATTAAGGTCTAGAAACTGGCTAGGCCACTCCATGACCTTAAGGTGCTTCTTCTTCAACCACACCTTTGTTGCCTTGGCGGTATGTTTTGGGTCAGTGTCATGCTGGAAGACCCATCCACGACCCATCTTCAGTATTCTGGCTGAGGGAAGAAGGTTCTCATCCAAGATTTTACAATACTTGACCCTGTCCATTGGCCCTTCAATGCAGCAAAGTCCGCCTGCACATTTAGCAGAGAAGCAGCTGCCCCAAAGCATGTTTCCACCTCCGTGTTTGACTTTAGGGATGGTGTTCTTAGGGTCATAGTCAGCATTTTTCATCCTCCAAACACAGAGTCAAGTTAATGCCAAATAGCTCAATTTTGCTCTCATCTAACACAGCACTTTCTCCTAATCCTTCTCTGAATCATTTAGATGTTCATTTGCAAACTTCTGATGGGCCTGTACATGTGCCTTCTTGAGGAAGGGGACCTTGCGGGCGCTGCAGGATTTCAATCCATGGCGGTGTATTGTGTTACCAATGGTTTGTTTGGTGACTGTGGTCACAACTGCCTTGAGATCATTTACAAGCTCCTCCTATGTAGTTCTGGGCTGATCCCTCACTTTTCTCATGATCAGCCTTACCCCATGAGATGAAATCTTGCATGGAGCTCTAGATCAATGGCGACGCATGTTTATTTTTTATTTCTTCCATATGCAAATAATCGCTCCAACAGTTGTCGCCTTCTCACCAAGTTTCTTGCCGATGGTCTTGTAGCCCATTCCAGCCTTGTGCAGGTCTACAATCTTGTCTTTGATGCCCTTTGACAGCTCTTTGGTTTTGTCCATGATGCTGAGGTTTGAATGGAAGAAAGAGATTCTGTGGGAAGGTGTCTTTTATACACATAACGAGTTGTCGTTAGGAGCACCTTCTTAAATTGAAAGGACTAGGACATAGCCAATCTGTGGGTGCCAGAATTATTGTTGGTTGGTAAAGGATCAAATAATTATTTTTCGCACTGAACTGCAAACTCAATTTATAACCTCTGTATTGTGTTTTTTCTGAATTTTGGCTGATATTCTGTCTTTATCATTTAAAATACACCAATGATGAAAATTATAGACCCTTCATTTCTCTGTAAGTGGGCAAACTTACAAAATCTGCAGGGGATCAAAAAATTAATTTCCCACTGTATATAATATACACCGCTCAAAAAAATTAAAGGAACACTTTGAAAACATTCGTCCAGTTTGCTGAAATTTCATTGCAGCAACTCAAAATGGAACTCAGTAGTTTGTATGGCCCCCACGTGCTTGTATGCATGCCTGATGGTGTCCTGGGGTATTTCCTCCCAGATCTGGACCAGGGCATCACTGAGCTGCTGGACAGTCTGAGGTGCAACCTGGCGGTGTCGGATGGAGCGAAAATGATATCCCAGAGGTGTTTTATTGGATTTAAGTCAGGCGAGCGTGAGGGCCATTCAATGGTATTAATTCCTTCATCCTCCAGGAACTGCCTGCATACTCTCGCAACATGAGGCCGGGCATTGTTGTGCACCCTGAGGAACCCAGGATCCACTGTACCAGAGTAGGGTCTAACAATGGGCCCAAGGATTTCATCCCCATACCTAATGGCAGTCAGGATGCCATTGTCTAGCTCGTTCTACTCTCCATGGATACGCCTCCCCAGAAAATCACTGACCCACCACCAAAACGGTAATGCTGATTGGTGTTACAGGCAGCATAACGTTCTCCACGGCTTCTCCAGATGCTTTCTCGTCTGTCACATGTGCTCAGGGTGAACCTGCTCTCATCTGTGAAAAGCACAGGGCGCCAGTGGTGGACTTGCCAATTCTGGTGTTCAATGGCAAATGCCAATCGACCTCTATGCTGTCAGGCAGTGAGCACAAGACCCACTAGAGGAGGTTGGGCCCTCAGGCCACCCTCATGAAGTCTCTTTATGATTGTTTGGTCAGAGACATTCACGCCAGTGGCCTGCTGGAGGTCATTATGTAGGGCTCTGGCAGTGGCCATCCTGTTCCTCCTTGCACAAAGGCGCACATACCAGTCCTACTGATGCGTTAAGGACCTTCTACTGTCCTGTCCAGCTCTCCTAGAGTAACTGCCTGTCTCCTGGAACCTCCTCCATGCTCTTGAGACTGTGCTGGGAGTCAAAGCAAACCTTCTGGCAATGGCACATATTGATGTGCCATCCTGGAGGAGTTGGACTGCCTGTGAAACCTCTGCACAGTCCAGGTATCACCTCATGCTGCCAGTGGTGACACTGACCTTAGCCAAATGCAAAACAGTCAGAAAAGATGAGAAGGGAAAAAATGGCCTCCACCTGTAAAACCATTCCTGTTTTGGGGGTTGCTTCATTGTTGTCCATCTAGTGCACCTGTTGTTAATTTCATTAACACCAAAGCAGCAGCAACTGATTAATAACCCCCTTTGCTACTTAACTGATCAGATCTATATCCCAGGAGTTTAATTGACTTGATGCTATACTCTGATTAAAAAGTGTTCCTTTAATTTTTTTTAACAGTGTATTATTATATTTATAGAGCTTTTTTGACCAGCTTTGAAGAAGGGAGCGTGCCCCCAAAATGAGTTAGCTTGCCAGCAAATCTCTAATAATGCACTGGGTGCTGGCGCCCTCCTGTTTGTTCTTTTTTTGCTTTTCTAGAAGGATCTCAACCATATTTTCGGGATCCACCCAGCTGTCTGATTGACAGCTGGCTCCCCCTCTCAGCGTGAAGAAGAGATCCAGAGTCAGCTGTGTCCACCTCCTCCCCAGCTCAGAGCTCCAGTGAGAGCTGGAGGAGCAGAGTGGAGAGCAGTGACCGAGTTATCAACAGAATAAAGTCAATACTATTTTAAGGAGTAACAACCTGTGTGGTTATTTTTGTGTAATATATTGTCCTAAGGATCAGTGACATAACACTGGAAGTTTTATAATAACATTTCTTACAGAGTAGGCTGAAATAAAGGGTAGAAAAATATTAACTTTATGAATTGAGCCCTGAATATTCTGCAGGGCAACAATTTAAATATAAACATTTCCCATTAGAGGAACATATTACACAGATAGTAGAGCCAGTATATAAAATAAAGGTAACCATAATATTCTAAATGATTCATAAGGTGCATTCCTATCCTTCAATAACACATTTATCAGAAAGCAAGAGCTATATTTATATAAAATGAATCTGAAATTTCTTAGCTACATAGAGGACATCATAGTCATTTTCATAAGCTACTGCAAAGCTACATATAATAGACCAATCCAATTCTCGCAGTGGTATGTAATACTTTCCATTGATATAAATATTTTCTAAATACCTCAAATCAGCAGATGGGTGAGATATACTACAAATAGCTTCACAGCTCAACACAGACCAGTGCAACCTCACAGTTAAAGCCGCTGCATTCTTTTAGCCCATTATGAATGAGATCCTAGCTAATCCTCACACAGGAACGCTTCTCCCAAAAGCTTCTAAACAAAATGAAACAGCCACCTATCAGAGAAACTATTCACTATATTGTAAATGGCCTCTTGCATATTTAAAAAAAAAAATCTCTGCAATAATTGATGAACCGGAAGAAGGTATCATATTATTAAAAAAATAATAAAGTCTAATCACATTATAACATGTGTATCACCATACATAAAATGTATATATGGATCAAAATACTATGAGTTGAGCCCAGGAGCAGCAACAAGCTATTGTGAAATTTTGCTGCTGTGATATGACTAATAATGAAGCTATTTTATTGAATACACTGATCCTGAATCTGCTGTGATTGGGCACACTGGTCCTGATTATGCTGTGACTGGGAACACAGGTCCGGATTCTGCTGCGACTGGGAACATTGGTCCGGATTCTGCTGCGACTGGGAACACTGGTCCGGATTCTGCTGCGACTGGGAACACTGGTCCTAATTCTGCTGTGACTGGGTACACTGGTCCTGATTTTGCTGTGACTGGGAACACTGGTCCTGATTTTGCTGTGACTGGGAACACTGGTCCTGATTTTGCTGTGACTGGGAACACTGGTCCCGATTCTGCTGTGACTGGGAACACTGGTCCCGATTCTGCTGTGACTGGGAACACTGGTCCCGATTCTGCTGTGATTGGGCACACTGGTCCTGATTCTGCTGTGACTGGGTACACTGGTCCTGATTTGCTGTGACTGGGAACACTGGTCCTGATTCTGCTGTGACTGGGTACACTGGTCCTAAATTCTGCTGTGAAAGTTTACTGACAATTGGACTTACCTGGCTTCTTATAGGTAACGTATATATATAATCCAATAACTATGACGTATGTTAAAAGCGCTGCCCACCAGTTGATGACAAACATGACACCACAGCAAAGGAGGGCACCGATGAGCGACACCCACATGTTGTAATACCTAAAAGCTGGACGCCAACCTAATAAAAGGGAAAAAAAAGCAATGTATAATATATTCTAGCAATCTACTATGAAAAGAAATAATAAGACATGGCAATTATTACTGGGGCTTAATCAAGAATCTACACAAAGCTGGGTTTTGACTAGTTGCAACGTGCTTCTGGACACCACTGCCCTTTGCACATATTAAAGGGCAGTGGTGTTTTTATTTACCATGTTTTATTATAATTTTCTTATTAAAGATCTAAATTCAAATTATATATCACAGAGACAAAGTTGCCTATACATCTCAGAAGTTAGGAGTATCAAAAAACATTACTAATTTACAGTGGTGTGAAAATGTAGAGTGTATGATATGTTACAAGGTTTAACAGTGAAGGGGAAAAATAGGAACAAGCACATTAATAATCAACTACAGTGAGGAACAGAAGTATTTGAACACCCTGCGATTTTGCAAGTTCTCCCACTTAGAAATCATGGAGGGGTCTGAAATTCACATTGTAGGTGCATTCCCACTCTGACAGACAGAATTAAAAAAACAATTACAGGAAATCTCATTGTATGATTTTTAAATAATTTATTTGTCTTGCACTGCTGAACATAAGTATTTGAACACCTGAGAAAATCAGTGTTAATATTTGGTACAGAAGCCTTTGTTTGCAATTACAGAGGTCAAACATTTCCTGTAGTTCTTGACCAGGTTGGCACACACTGCAACAGGGATTTTGGCCTACTCCTCCACACAGATCTCCTCTAGATCTGTCAGGTTTCGGGGCTGTCGCTGAGCAACACGGAGTTACAGCTCCCACCAAAGATGTTCTATTGGATTTAGGTCTGGAGACTGGCTAGGCCACTCCAGAACCTTGATATGCCTCTTACGGAGCCACTCCTTGGTTATCTTGACTGTGTGCTTCAGGTCGTTGTCATGTTGGAAGACAGGAACCATCTTCAATGTTCTGACTGAGGGAAGGAGGTTGTTGCTTAAAATCTCACAATAAATGGCCCCATTCATCCTCTCCTTCATACAGTGCAGTCGTCCTGTCCCCTTCGCAGAAAAGCACCCCCAAAGAATGATGTTACCACCCCCATGCTTCACAGTAGGGATGGTGTTCTTGGGATGCAACTCATCCTTCTTTTTCCTCCAAACACGACGAGTGAAGTTTAGACCAAAAAGTCCTACTTTGGTCTCATCTGACCACATGATTTTCTCCCATGCCTCCTCTGGATCATCCAGATGGTCATTGGCAAACTTCAGACTGGCCTGGACATGTGATGACTTGAGCAGGGGAATCTTCCGTGCAATGCATGATTTGAAACCAAGACGGCGTAGTGTTCTACCGACAGTGACCTTTGAAACTGTGGTCCCAGCTCTCTTCATGTCATTGACCAGCTCCTCCCTTGTAGTTCTGGGCTGATTCCTCACCTTTCTTATCATCAGTGATACCCCACGAGGTGAGATCTTGCATGGAGCCCCAGTTCGAGGGAGACTGACAGTCGTCTTTAGCCTCTTCCATTTTCTAACAATTGCTCCAACAGTTGATCTGTTTTCACCAAGCACTTTGCAATTGCCCCGTAGCCCTTTCCAGCCTTGTGGAGGTCCACAATTTTGTCTCTGGTGTCTTTTAACAGCTCTTTGGTCTTGCCCATGGTAGTAGTTGGCGTCTGACTGCCTGTGGGGTGGACAGGTGTCTTTAAAGAGCTCAGACAGGTGCTACCAAGTTAGATTAATGAGTGGAGTAGAGGTGGACTTTTTAAAGGCACAGTAACAGGTCTTTGAGAGCCAGAATTCTTGCTGTTTCTTAGGTGTTCAAATACTTATGTTCAGCAGTGCAAGATAAATAAATTCTTTAAAAATCATACAATGTGATTTCCTGAATTTGTTTTTTTAAATTCTGTCTCTCAGAGTGGGAATGCACCTACAATGTGAAATTCAGACCCCTCCATGATTTCTAAGTGGGAGAACTTGCTAAATCACAGGGTGTTCAAATACTTCTGTTCCTCACTGTATATCACTGACCTTTAATAAATACTTGGCTGAAATCATATTTCAAAGTATTAATGATAAAAAATTTAATTTTTACTTCAATATGTTCTAATATACAGTCATTATTAAAAGAGAAATTTGGGCTTTTCTTTTTTTTTTTTTTCCCAAATTATACCTACCTAGGTGGATGCAGCACCGGTCCAATGCTGCATCTGTACCCCGCCAGCTCGAAGTGTGAGAACTGTGGGCTGTGGAGGGGGACTGAGCAGCTGGCTTAGGCTCTCAGCAGCTTTCTGAGAGGCTGAGCCAGGTGCTGGTCCAGAGTCTGGGGTGGATCCCGACTTTAATGTCAGGATCTTTCCCCAGCCTGGGTTGGCTGAGTGATGTCAGCTGACAGCAGGATGGACTGCATTACTGTGATCCACAGGGGAAGTACAGAAAAGAGCTCTGGCTGTACTTTTCCTTTAAGCAAGTCATACATTAAGCAATTTTTAAAATTGCTTGATTCCCCGTTCAACGCATTCATTGCTGATGGGGAAATCCCTCCCGCAGAGCTTTGTATTCTAACAGCAGGAAGTTTCCCAGCCGTCAGAATACAATGATCACTATCGGTTTCATTACAACCAGCCTGCTCATAGATGGATTGAAAAATGGCCAGGTCCTGCTGAACCAGCTGAATTTTGATCTATTGACAGCTTTACTCTGTGGGAAAATTGCACAAAAAAACAATATAAGTGTGCAGCTCTGCCCTCTGCCTCCAGAATTCTGCTGCCCAATATACTAACATGTTGACTGTTAAAATGTTCTGTCAAATATCTTGTCTTCCTTGTAAAATTGGCTCCCTTTGCCACTTTGCTCACAAGGTATACTCTTCCAGGCATACACATTGCATTATTCATGGAGCTAAAACAATTTCTAAAACAATGACAGCTGTGAAAGAAATAGAAACTTTAACCACTTGCCCTTCTGGGGATTTACCCCCTTTAACGACCAGCCCATTTATTTGCGTTAACTGTGCGCAGCCATCCAAAGCAGTGTGCATGAGCTGACAGGGAGGAGAATTGTATTGTTTACATACAGTTCTCCTCCCCATCGGAGATGCTCAGCAATCACCGGGTGCCAGCGAGAAATCACCGGTCGGGACCCAGTGATGGACAGCCACAGCTGAGAATAGCGGCACAGGTAGAACGTGCACCCCCTACCCAGAAATGCTAAATCACATGTATGTATATGTATATATATATATATATATATATATATATATATATATATATATATATATATATATATATGTGATTTTGCACACCCGTGCGCGCCCTGTAGCAGTATATCTGCTATAGGGCGGTCAGGAAGTGGTTAAACAGACAAAGCATTCTTGCTGAATTTACATAAAAAAAAATAAAACAGTCATTTGAGTTTGTTAGTAAACAGATGATGGAATACAGTCATTATGGTAAACTAAGCGAGATTAAACCATTCATGAATAGCAAACTATGGTTGGTAAACAAAGGTATTTTTTTACTCTCAAAACATAAACCATCCAAACTATCCAATAAACTGATTAAATGAAAGCACAACACAAAAAAAACAAACTTTCAACCTTACCTGGAGACTTGGCAAGTGAAGCGTGGAACACAGAGAAGTTTATTAAGGCATATGATGCCAAGAAGAAATTTGAAATGATAGGAGCAATCACATTTAGTTCAGCTAGAAAAGAGAAAAAGAGAGAATTTTTAAATTCTTTTTGATAGCTACCCCAAAGCTAAGTGAACAAAACCAAACTGGGCTACCAATTTACAAGAACGAATTTCTAAGCCTACTGCCAAACTAAACATATCCAGCCTCCTATTACAACAAAATGCACCTACTCTCCCACCCTCATATGGCACTAAAACTAGCTTGGTACAAGACTAACTTTAGAGGGCAGAAGACCTGTGCAAACTAATACTGGTCAGCTATACTGCAATGTTTAGTTCAACAATCACTTCATTTCTGCTGTTAAAGCAGGTATGTTTAAAGTGATTGAAAGGGATTTTTTAAAATAACAAACATGTTAGGCCTCTGCACTCTGGATGTTATAAAAATGCCAGTAGCGTTACCTGTAGAATGCCCTGCTAAAAACAAGTTTTGTAGCTTTTTTTAGCGTTTTTCAGCATTTGCATTTTTAGCAAAACTATCTTCCCACAAAAGCTTAAGGCTCAAAAACACTCATGAATGCTGGATAGCCACGTTTTGCAGTGCTTTTTAGGGTTAGAGCTTTTACAGCTGAAAAACTCCTGTTCAAGCACAGTAGTTTTGGGTTTTTTTCCAGCCTGAAAATGCCCCTTCCAAAAAACGCTGATAAAAGCCGGTGTGCATGGACGCATAGGATAACATGCTGGAGAATTTACTGGCTATAGAAAAAAAAAAAAAAAAAAAAAAAAAAACTCCTGCCGCTCAAAACATCAGATGTAAAAACACCCAGTGTATATAAGGCCTTATACTTACCTGCTTTGTGCAATGGTTTTGTACACAGCAGTCCCAATCCTCCTCACCTGTGGTTCCCCGATGGCGCTCCTGGTTTCTCTACCCTTACAACTGCCCCCATAGCAACCCGCTTGCTATGAGGGCACATGTATGGGCTCACTCCCAAAGCGTACACTGCTTGTCCACTGACACACACAGTACAGCTCAGCCCTGTCCCCACTCTCTCCTTGTAAGCTGTGATTGACAGCAGCTGGAGCCAATAGCTTCTGCTGCTGCCTTTATAGCAAGAGAGCGAAAACGGAGAGGTGCTGCTCCCCAGGCACAGTGCTGAACCAAGATCGGGCTCAGGTATAAATTTAAGGCAGGCTAGGTGGGAGCAGAACATGTTTTTTTATCTTAATGCATAGAATGCATTAAAGAAAAAAAATCTGCATTTACAACCCCTAATTAAAGCCCTCCCAATACTGCCTCAAAGGCTGTTACTTAGAAACAACTGCCTGTACATGTGTGCATATCAGCCTATTCAAATGTGTTAATGGGTCCAATTATTCATTTTTAATCATATATTCATTAGACTCACAAACATAAAAATACACACCAATTAATATGAATCCCAGTGCAATTAGGAATGTAAGGAGATAGCCACGCAGTGGTTCATTGTTCTTGCCATATCCCTTGGCAAACATTTGAAGACCAGGATAAATGTTGTCCTTGCACAAGGCCTGGGAGGAAAAAAAAGACAGCTGATTTAGGAAGATAGATCTGCTTCAAATGTAAAATAAAAACTAGACAAGTTCATGAGAAGAATGTGAACCTAACCTGACAAGACAGGTTCAGCTGGTTATTTCTATATTTATGAATCTTACAGTGATTGAATAAATCCAAACAATGTAGTATTACTTACATTATGAACCTGCTACACATACTGCAAGTAGGATTTAGGTGAGTCATGGCCAAAAATGTGGAAAGACTTGGCAATAATACAACCCCACTTATCAGTCAAACACACTTGAGTCCCAAACATCAGCAACATTCTATAAAAAGATAAATTCACCTGTGGGAACAGGTTACATGTTCCTACTCCTGCAGCCACTCCCTGATCCCCACACTCCCTGTGACAGCAGGTCAGGGATCTTCTCCCCATACCCGTTGTCACTATTTGAAAAGTGCAGGGCCAGGTCATTAATTCACAAAGTTTTGTGAATTAATGAGTTTCAAGTATCAAAAGCCTTTGAGGCTTTTGGCTTGTAGTTCTCAATGAACTACCAGGGCATTGTTGAGCACTCTAGGTAGTTCACTGATGCACTCTAGGTAGTTCACTGATGATTCCTGTTAGTGTTTAACTGCCTGCTCGTACAAGGAATGAGCAGATAGCTTACACTGACAGTCTGCAAGAACTGCTGATTGTGGGAGCAATGCGTTATAGGTTCCTAATAAAAAAGTAATCAATGCACATTATTTCACCTGCAAAAAGATGCGGATTTATTTATTTTTCTTAGAGGTGAACTTTATCTTTTAATAGCTTTAATTGCCTTTATCAGTAACTGATCTTACCTGAAAGACTTTTGGTGCACTCACTAATGATGCAAGAGCAGAAGAGAGAGTTGCAGAAAAGATTCCAGCTGTAATGAGTGGTGCAAATCCAGACACCATGCTCATGACCTGTAACATAGACAAAAAAAGGTGCATGTATTAAGGCAAACTTCAACATCCCAGAGGAAAATTATCTGTCTATATAAAACCAAAAAATCAGATTTGCTGTTAAGATTTGCTACACTTTTTACATAACCACGTAAAGCTGTAGTATATATAATTTTTAGGATACAGAACCAAACACTAGTTATGTTTAAAACTTCATTCTCACGGCAAATGCGCATTTTCCGAATTGAATGAGGTTTTGCGGGCAGAGCAAGCAGATCTGTGCGGTCTTGAACACAGCTGTCCGCTTTTTTTGTTGTACGCAGCTAAATGCAGCAAACATTTTCACGTGTAGACACAGATGTGTATATGGCCTCCTTGATTACTACAATGCTGCATTTGGATGCATACAAAACTGTAAGCTGAATGCATCTAATTCCAGCGTTTTAGACACCAGTGTGAATTAGTTCAATGGTGTGCATCACATTACCTGCACACAACTGTTTCTGTTAAAAATCATATCTACAATGTCTCCTTCACAGCTGCTACATATTGCTGTGAGTGACTGTCTTCCAGGGCTGTTAAGGTTAACAGGAGTTGCTGCTACTGATTTAAGATGCACCACCCACCCGATTCTGCCTTTTCCATCATTCATACAACCCATTTTATTACTCCTACAATGCATAGTGTTCTGTGAATAAGCAGAAGAGATCCTTTCATTAAACTGCTTCTCCTGACAGAACTTGATGCACCGTAGGAGTCCTGTGAATGGAGGAGAGGACAGAAGGGGGCAGGCAGTGCAACTTACCTAAATAGCAGTGGCTGCTGTTAACCTTCACAGCCTCAGAAGACAGATGCTCAGAGTTGTGAAGGAAACACTGCAGAGATGAGATAAAGCAGAAACAGCTGCCTAAAGGCAATTGTATACACACCATCATTACACATTACAATGTGCATATTGCTGTCCCCTAAAAAAATACATACTAAACTTCAGCTTTAGAAGAGAAGTATGGCCACAGCTTTCTTGGCCATACATCTGTTGTGGGTCACAGGAGTGCACTTACCTTTGCACTCCTGTGACCCGTAGTCGACTGACAGCGGGCTATTGTCTGCTATCAGAAGAGGTGACAATGATGTTCTAGCCTCTCAAAGGGTCCCAACAATATTGGTGGGATCTGCCCAGCTCTATGATTGACAGCTGCCTCCTCCTCTCAGCACACAGCTGAGAGCCAAAGACAGCTGTACCCCACACCCTCCCCAGCTTGCACTCCAGTGACAGCTCTCCGCTCTAAGCAGGCTGTGTGATCAGCAGTCATATGATAGCTCAGTTCTCTGGCTACAAGCTGATGTAGGACCGATGCTGCAGCATAAGAGTGAGTGAGTGCGTGTTTTGTTTTTTAATTAACGCCATACATCTCTTAACTACCTTACAGAATATTCCCAAAAATTGTGGAAGACCTAGAAACCCAGTTCTAGGTCTTTTCGGTTTTCTTCTGGGTTTTGTATTGAAAATGTATACATAAAGAATACAAAAAAGCAAAAACAAAAAAAGAACCTGGTCAGATTTTATTGCTGTGTCCCTACTGGGGAGATTATCTGTCCCAAAGAAACAAGTCAAAAAGTGATGGAAAATACAAAATGTTACATTTGTCACAGAAGCAAGAGGTGAAAAAATTCTTCAATGGGGACACCTGTTTCAGTCCAACAGGAACTATACCATCATTTTGGAAATATATCCTCTTACTTCCCATTATGTCTTTGGAGCAGAAACAAAAGGGAAATTTCCACAATAGCCACAGAAAGCAAACATTAACCACTTGCCCTCCAGAGGATTTACCTCTGCAATTGCGCGGTCATACAATGCTGCACCCAAATGAAATTTACATCCTTTTTTCCCACAAATAGAGCTTTCTTTTGGTGGTATTTGATCGCCTGTGCGGTTTTAATTTTTTGTGCTATAAATAAAAAAAAAGACCGACAATTCTGAGAAAAAAAAACAATAATTTTGACTTTGTGCTATTAAACATGTCCAGTAAAAAAATTTTAAAAATCACATTTTGTCATAAATTTAGGCCAAAATGTATTATGCTACATATCTTTGCTAAAAAAAAATCCCAACAAGTGTAAATTAATTGGTTACGTGAAAGTTATAGCTTTTACAAATGGCGGTATAGATACTGGATTTTTTTTTTTTTACTAGTAATAGCGGCGATCAACGACTTATAGCGAGACTGCAGCGGGCATTCTGACACTGGGGGGAACTGGTTGGTGTCATCCCCAGTGACACCAATACAGTGATCAGTGGTAATAAAAAGCACTGGCACTGGGCATGAAGGGGTTAACATCTGGGGCGATCAAAGGCTTAACTATGTGCTGTTTTACTATGGGGGCTGTGTGTGTGCTTCACTGTAAGCAAACTACTTTGTATGGCTCTGCATGCAGAGCCATGCAAAGCAGTGTGCAGGAGCTGACAGGGGAGAGATCTGTATTGTTTACATACAGGTCTCTCCCCCGTCGGAGATACTCGGCGATCACTGGGTGCTAGCCAGGACCTGGTGACTGACAGCCGAGGCCACAAATGGCAGCAGCGCGGGTAGGATGCGTGTGTGCGCCCCCTACCCGGAACTGCAAAATCACGTATTGATGTGTGATTTTGTGCACGCGTGCCACCCTGTAGCAGTATTGCTGCTATAGGGCAGCGCGGAACTGGTTAAACAGTGAAGGGTTTTTACTCCCCCTGCTCTATCCCAACCGAATGAAAAATAGTTTTGACTATACATACATACACTTTAATTAAGCCATAAAATACCACCAATAAGATCCAGTATATATAGGCAATACAAAATAATCTGAACTTTTTTTTTTTTATTACAGCATTCTGCAAAAATGATTACATTATAGAATGATGATAGTTGTTACACATATAAGGAATAAAATGTATATATGTTCTATTTCATATATTATTCAAGGAAGGGGCTGTACAGACCACCTTTCCTGGAAGCTGTTACCCCATTTTGCCTACTGTAAAATAAAATAAAAAAAAAAAAAAAAAAACTTCCTTACCTGGAAGCTATTCATGAGTCCAAACTGACAGTCAGGTTTGCAGTATGAGAAATTGTAGTTTAATTTACAAGCTGCATCTGTACAGTTCGTCACAGCTGCAGAAAGGGTATCATTAACATTCCCTGAAGCATCACGAAGAACACATGCACCTGCAGAAGAAATAGAAAGAACAATCTTGCTGAGGCAAAAATAGGACAAAGCGCAAAATAGAATATATGACCAGTCATAACTTCATTGTAAATTTTCTAATTCTAAAAATGCCTTTTGGAGATGGACTTATTCTAGGACAGCCTATTGCTCTCATTCTTTTGTGCTTGTTTCTCCTTTTCCAAGGTTGATCTGTCAGACCATGTAAATGACATAGGTAAATGCACCGCAATTGTAGAGTTTATCACCCTCCTGGCTATGCTGTCTTGCTCAGGAAGTGGCGGAATAGAGTTACAAGTCCCTCTGAGGATCATTTTAAGTGTGTATTTAGCAAATTACATGGAATTCAGCTTTAAAAATACAGCTGAACAAAAAGAAAAGGAAATTGTTCATTTTATTTACTTCTTTTTTGCCATTCACACTTTAGGGTTTTGTAGTTCAAATCTACAAAATGCTCAACGCTCCAAAATGCTCAACATCAAAAATGCAATTGTTTTCAGGTATGTCGGTTCACACCTGAGTATAGTGTGGCTTGAAGTTTATAGTTCAAAATAGTACAGACGCTTCTTCTGAGCTAAAAGTGTTTTGACCCCAGTAGATTTCTATAGGAACACCCAAAAATGTGTGTTTTTTTTCCCTAGTAACTAGCTTTCCATTGGCTAGACATAATTAAAATAAGAAATGCTTAAGTAAAAACTCTCAAAAACCCCTATACAAATGCTAAAAAATAGTCTGTAAAAACAACCAAAGACACTCAACTTAAGTATGAACGTGACCTAAAAGACATAAAATTAATGCCTGGAAGGCAATGAAACTAAAAAATAAACAGTATGAATAGTTAAAATAACTCAATATTCCTAAAACTTGGCATTACACGTAACTGCAATGTTCTTTTCAAGTTAACGCACACAAAACAGAAATGGAATTCTTACCCACAGATACTGCAACTCCCATGTAGACTACAGTTGTTATAAGAATAGCCAAAAGGGTTCCTTTAGGTATGGCTAGTTGAGGGTCCTGAAAAATATCATTAACATATATACATGAAGTAAAACCTCTAAAACATACTGTTATTTATTACACTCACTTTGAGAAAATACTCACCGCAAGGTCACCTGAGATATTGGCTCCTGCTAAGATACCAGTTGCGGCAGGAAAGAAAATGGCAAAGACAGAAAAGAATGTTTCTTCACCTCGAAAGTCTGGTCCAAAATTTTCACTGAATATTTCAGCTACAGAAAAGGAAGAAAAAGGATCTTTAGACTCATTAAAAAGTCGTCCTTTTCTGAGTGCATTGAGGGACACAGCTGGAGGATAATTAACATGTTCACACCTGGTCTACAGCAGATTTACGGCTGGGCAGTCCTTTCCTCCCTGTAACTGGGTGTCATATGACGTCCTGTGCATCGCGCCGCGCATGCGTGCCCCTCAGGTGCACGCAGAGTGGCCGTTGCTGTCAGGCTGTGTCCCTCTGACAAAGAGCTTCCCTGCTGAAGGTAAAGAGCCAATGAAATTGGCTTTTTACCATGTGATCAGCTGTGACCTGTCACAGCCGATCATAAATATAAACACACAGCAGTCACTCACTGTTGTTATCTTCTCCTCCTTACACACTGATCTTGTGTGGGGAGGAGAACCTAGGAACTGTGAGTTTTTATAGTTAAACCCTTTCACTACTGTGCACCACACTGCCTCTAATAAAAAGAGTCCCTGTTAGTGCCACCAGTCAGATCAGCCCATCAGTGGATCTGTCAGTGGAGCTATTAGCATGTCAGTGCTGCCCACCATCAGTGCATCTGTCAGTGCATCTGCCCACCAGCCATCACATCTGCCAGTGCCGCCATCAGTGCATCTGCCAGTGCCATCAGTGCATCTGCCATCAGTGCATCTGCCTGCCAGTGCCGCCATCAGTGCATCTGCCAGTGCCGCCATCAGTGCATCTGCCAGTGCCGCCATCAGTGCATCTGCCAGTGCCGCCATCAGTGCATCTGCCAGTGCATCCCCATTTGTGGATCTATCAGTGCAGCCCATCAGTGCACAGCCCATCAGTGGATCTGTCAGTGCAGTCTATCAGTATACTTGTCAGTGCAGCCCATCAGTGCATCCATCAATGTACCTGTCAGTGCATTAATCAGTGCAGTACATCGGTGTACCTGTCACCACAGCCATCAGTGCAGCCTAATCAGTGTGCTCGTCACACAACTGCCGCCCATCAACAGTGTACCCATCACAGCCACAATCACCAGAGCTACAATGTCCAAAAAATATTTTACTAGTGAGGAGGCGCTCAAAATCCTCAGCATGTAGGATGAGAGCAGCGGGGAGTTCTCACCATCTGATTTCGATTCGGAATACGAGCCAGTAGAAAGTAGTGGGTCAGTGACCGAATCGGAGAAAGAAGCAGCCCCTCCTAAAAGGATATGGCCATCTGAAGAGCAGGCACCCACAAGCAGCACCATACACCCCAATGGTCAATCAGCAGACACCAATGGCGCTAGACCCCAGGACAAAAGGCCCAGTACCAGCACTGGAGCATCGCACCAGACCCCAAGAATTAGGGCCCAAACATATCTTCCTGACGCCCTGGCAAACCATTTATGGATGCCTTCCAGCTCAGTATCAGCTTCCATCCCCCCTTTCACCGCACAGCCCGATGTGCAGACCAATACTGAAAATATTTCTGAAATTGATTTTTTTTATTTGTTTTTTCCTGCCAATTTACTTCAATACATTGTGGATCAGACAAACCTTTTTTCTCAGATGTATATTGATAACAATCCCAGTACATCCTATGCCCGTCCTTTTCTATGGAGATGTCTCACAGTGGAGGAGTTAAAATTGTTTTTGGGCCTTACATTTAACATGGGGCTTACAAAAAAAAAAAATTAATTGCATGCCTACTGGTCCACCAACCCCATCCATCATATGCCCATCTATTCTGCTGTAATATCCAGATCATGCTATGATCTGATCATGAGATTCCTGCATTTCAATGATAACTCACAGTGCCCTGCCCATCCCCGAGATCAAGCTATACAAAATCGGCCCCCTAACAAATCCTTTTGCTAAGAGATTTACGGAACTTTATCTACCTGAGCAACAAATTTGTGTGGGTGAATCCCTTGTCCACTTCACTGGCAGGCTGGGATTCAAGCAATACATTCCCAGTAAAAAGGCCAGTTATGGACTAAAGCTGAACAAGCTCTGTGAAAGAGCTACAGGATATGTGCATGCCTTCCGCGTGTTCAAAGGCAAAGACTCCCAGCTCCAGCCCCCTGAGCGCTCAACCTACATCGGCACAAATGGCAAAATTGTCTGGGACCTGGCATTCCCGCTGTTCCAAAAAGGTTATATCTACCTTGATAACTATTATACCAGTCTGCCCCTTTTCCGGCATCTGTACCGTGAGAAAACCTTAGCCTGCGGTACCACCCAAAAAATTGAAAGGGCTTCCCACAAAGTTTAGTAAACACAATCTACAAAGGGGGGAATCCACAAGTCTGAGAAACGAGGAAGTGTTGGCCAAGAAGTGGAGGGATAAGAGAGATGTTTACATCCTGTCCACCATCCACAATGACACCTTGGTGGAAATTCACAGAAAACACAGTCCCATCCAAAAACCTGAATGCATCCACTATTATAATCGGTTCATGGGGGAGTAGATTTAAATGATCAGATGCTACAGCCCTGTTCGTCCCTCTTCTGGTATAAAAAAAAGTTGCAATTTATTTTTTCCATTTGGCCATTTACAATGCATTTGTCATCTATCAAAAGTCAACAGAAAGACCCACCACCTTCAAATATATAGAAGAAATGATCGCTTCCCTGATCTACCAGCAAGGATCCTCCCAGAAAACATTTGTTCTGATTGTGTGAGCAGACTTCACGAGCAACATTTTCCAGAAAACCTTCCACCCACAGAATCAGGAAGAAGTCGCCAAAAAAAAATGTCAGGTATGCAGAAGTGGAGTTAAGAAAGACACCAGTGTTCATTGTCCCCAGTGTCCCTCCCAACTGGGCCTATGCATCGGAGACTGCTTCGACATCACAAAAATATTAGTTACCCTTATTTTTAACAGCCTGCCATTTCCCAGTTTCTAAAATCTATGCTAGTCATTTGCCTGCTGCCTTGATTGACCATGCCTTTGCCTTCCACGTTAACTGACCCTGGCCTGTTTACCAATGATACCTCTGCCTGCCGTCTGGACTGTTTCTAAACCGCTTTTCTGCCTTCCACCTGAACTGACTCTGGCCTGTTTACCGACAATGCTTTTGCCTGCCATCTGGATTGTTTCTAAACTATGTTTCTGCCTTCTACCTGCAATGACCTCGGCCAGTAAATCGACCATGTTTTTTGCCTGCCGCTTGAACTGATCTTTTGCCCTGCTACTGTTGTAGTGGGATGCAAGATAACGCAGGAGTCTCACATGTATGAGGGGCTTCAGAGTAGAGAAAACCAGTTTTAGGTTTTCACCAGGTTTTGTAATTCCCGCATCAGGGTCTGTTAGTCTGGAGGTTTCAAGGAGATTGGGTGGGACGAAGCCTCTACCCCTGTGGCCAGGTGTTACCAAAGCCTGATGTTTTTTCCTGCTGCCTGGACCAATATTATGCTTACCATAGCTCTGCCTTCAATGACCCAGGAGGTTTTATGGACCATGTTCTTGACTGCTACCTGAACCAGTACTTTGACTGTGCTGACCATATCTCTGCCTGCTGCTTGTAATGACCCAAGACTTTATTTGGACTATGTTCCTGCCTGCTGCCTGGACTATTCGTTTGGCTATTTCTGACCACATCTCTGCCTGCTTCCTGGACCACTGCTCTCCTCTGCAGACAACTTCTCTACTATAACCACAGGTAATCTTCTGTTTACCCTTTGTTTAATGAAGCTGTGAAGAAGTCTCATGCATGTGGTATCACCATACTCAGGAGGAGTAGCAGGATGTATTTTGGGGTGTAACTCTTGCTATGTCCATGCTGGGTTGAACAGGAAAGAGTGAGTATATAAGAACCAAGTCAAGGCACCAAGTTGAAGGAAAGAATTTTATCCTAGATTAAAAAGCAAAACTGTTTCCTTCTGTTTAGGTGAGACAACAACAAACCAAAACTTGACTGATGGAATGTGGAAGGGATTCAATGTCTAAATACAAATCCTCTGAAATAACCCTGCCAAAATCAGACATACAGTATTAGGCATATTTACATCAGATTCATCGGGAGGCCGAGGGTGATTTAAATAAATATCCTCTGCTAAGCAGAAAGACGAATGAGTACCCAAAGCAAAAAAAAAAGGTCAGCAGTAGCCAACATCGCAGGTGGAAGTACCTAAACATTGTAAAAAGTGCAGAAGACACAATATTTACCAGTTTACCATACCAAACACAGTTTGCATTTGAAATTTTGTAGAAATAAAAATATCAGTGCCCCTTTAATCCACTTTTCCTGGAATACTGACAACCATTAGAGCTGCAAGAGCACCAAACAGAACAAGGGGTTGGCTGAGTGACCACAGTCACTGTAGGTGGAATACAGCAAGCCTTCTGCTTCAGTCTGCTAGGTCCCAATGCTGGTTTGCAGAGGAGAAGAGTCACTGTATACATGTATCACTTTTTGCACTAGCGACTATATGTACTGGCTCGGAAAGCAGAAGAGGAGAGTTGCCACGATTTGTGCTGGAAGGGCTCAGTTACATTTACAAAGAAAAAAAATGTATTTTGCATGTGTGCAGCTAGTGCAGGTGTTGCTATGTAGCAAGCTGGAGTACTATCTTCTCTCTTGTACAGTCGGAGTAGAAAATAAAGAGGAAGGCTTCCCAATTTGGTCCACTTGCAAATTCCGCAAAGCATAAAAGCAAGCACAGATGTAAAAGGAGAATTTTAATCCTTTCACAAAATGGCCAGCCAGCTACAGTTGTTTCTGTAGCAAACACCCCCTACATGTCAACTTTATTCCAAACAGAGGAAAAATTTCAACAAAGCAGAAGCCTGCAACAGTGAGTCTTCAGAGACAGAGGCGGAACACTGTCACAGCTGTAACTCAATAACTTCACAACTAAACCCTAGACATACTGGCATGACCTAAAAGTAGAGTCCTGTGCAAAATGAACAGAGATAGGTAGGCACTGCTGACTGAAGGACTGTCAAAGAGATAATACCAGTATACTTAATGAACTGGAAAATCTGCGTTTCTTGTCTGTCTTGAGAAAATTCCAAGAAATTAGGGTTATTGCATGAGAGACCACCAGTATACTTAAAGTGGAGTTCCAACTGAAACAAAAAAAAAAAGAATAAAAGTCAGCAGCTACAAAAAACTGTAGCTGCTGACTTTTAAAATACAGCCACTTACCTGTCCCTTGGTCTATCGGTGTTCTCACCACTGCTGATTTCACCGGCCGTCTTCTCTCCCTGGCGCCGGCATCTTTAGTGTGGGCACCTGGCTGTGACAGCTTGCGGCTTCACAGCCGGGTGCCACTGTGCATGCAGAAAAAGCGCTGTGCTTTGTGAATGGCCACGTAGTCTTTTGGGACCTGTCACGTGTCCCAGAAGACTACGGGGAGGGAGGACAACTTCCGCTTCTGATCTCCTAGGCGACCGCAGCGGAAATGGGAGTGGGTATCTGTCAAATTCAGGTACCCACTCCCCTAAGGTGCCAATCCTTAATGGGGAGCAGGGGACAAAGCATTAAAGTGGAACTTCTCCTTTTGGGTGGAGCTCCACTTTAATGACCTGAGAAAATCTGCACTTGCTGACTAACTGGGGAGCTTTATAGGCTTTCAGTATCTGGCCTGAATCTAACAACAGCTGTTGACAGTAGTAAACATTTTTCTATCACACAGAAAAAACGAAAAGCTGAAGAAAACGTCCAAAAACAAAATTAAGCAAGTGTAAGGTAGGATGTGTTCTAGTCAAAAGGGAGCAGGCCTTTAGTTTCCAATGTGCCTAGTGTCCATTTCTATGGTAGGCTGCATTATAACTCCTAGTTTTCTTAAACCTTAGGTTGCTTCAGCTGTATCCCTCAATAATGTTGAGACAAGAGGACGAGAGGAAAAAAAAAAAAAAAAGCTTTGGATGATGTTAGGCTTTAAAAATTTCAGCTCTTATACATGTATACCCCCTTACTCACCAGAGCAAGTTTTACAATTCCACTATTGTCTGTTCACCTAGCTTTGTCAATATTTAATAAAACAAAGCAATACGTACATTGATTGTATTTATTTATATTTTTTGGAAAGGGGGGTGGGTAATGGAACTTTTTTTTGGCACTACGGTTTTGCAAAAATGCTTTAACTTTCTATGGGTTCTGTACGCAAAACTAAAACATAAAATCTATGAGAAAAAAGACAAAACAAAAAAGAATCAACAGAAAATAAATAAATAATAATAGGGTGAAGGCGAGAAGGGGTGGTAGCTGTTAATTAGTGCCAATTAGGTTAGCTAAGGCTTAACAAGGTGTTAAAAAAAAAAAAAACACAATTTGACTTGCAAAGTTTTGTCATATGCAGATCAATAACACTTACAGACTGTGTGCAGGTGTCATTGTGCACAGGAGCAGCTGCATTTTGAAAGCAACTCTTGGTGTGGAATGCAAAGTAACTACCAGCTATCATGACAGCTGGTAATTGCCAGTAACAGAGGCAGGAAATGTAACAGCAGGAGGTGAGGAGATGGATGTAAGAGATGCATCCAAAAAAACTTTGTTGAAGTTTTTTTTTATAGTGCACCTCTTGCGTTCAAAATCCTCAATAGGTTAAGAATATTTTACTTTAAAAGAGAATGCTATTGAAACTGGTCAGTTTTATTAGAGGAAAAATGCACTTTTCGTTGCTCAAGAGTCTATTGGTCATTATACTGTATACTTAGGGGAGTTTGAGGAAGATTAGAACTGGAAGTTATCTTAGCACATTACAGAAGCAGAGCAATGGAAGCATGAAATGTGTTCACACCATACATAATACTGTTCTTTTACCTTTATAACCAAAGAATCCTTTAGCCTTCTTGTCCTCTAGGGGAATGACTGTTCCTATAAAGAAGTCACAGATCGCCAGCAACAATATCACCAGCAGTACTATCTGAGCCTGGAAAAAATAAAACCATGCAGAGTGATTTTAAATGAATGGTAAACCAACTCCACCCTGCATATTTACTAATAAAATCAATAATTTTTATGTATATTTTAACATTTACAGCATTATCTTTAAAATGTACTAAAAGTCCCTTTAAAAAAGTACTCCAGAAGAAATTTGTTTTTCTTTGGCCTGTAATAATTGTGTGTTGGTGCACAATGGCACTAAGATGAAACTATGGTAAACCGCAGAAAGTAGGATTACCTGTGAAGCTGCAAAAGTAAAGTTTCACACATGTTTTGTTTTAGATCCTTTGAGTGAATACACTTACTACTGCTTTGAAAAGACAAGTCAGCAAAATACCAGAGATGAAGGGCATGATTTGATCTTTTTGGAAAGCAATGAACTTCTAAAGCAGGGCTTTACTGCACTGTTGCACTGAAGACAAACTGTGTTTAGCAATAGTAAACTTAAAGCTGTTCAAGAAGGTGATCCTCATTGGCGCCAAGTGGGGAAGCCATTTAAAACTGCTGTGGGCAAGAGCTGTGGATAACATTTTCCACCTTTTGCCTGAATGTAGAATTCCTTCTAAGCTTCCATGAAGTGTATATATTAATGGGCTGTCTCCCATTCTGTCATCAAGCATAGTACACAGAAGTGCTTCCCAACTCCAGTCCTTAGGGACACCAACGGGTCATATTTAATTTTCCACACTTCCAGGTACTTACAGAGTAAACACCAGCGGCTTTATGACTCACACCTATTATTTTACCAGTAAATCTGTGAAGAGACATGGAAACACGACCTGTAAGGGACCCTAAGGATTGCTTTGCAAAACACATGTATAGTGGAAGTTACCAAAGTAGAGAGACCACAAGCTCTCCACAGCAATAGTTTTCCAAGCCAATTGGTTTAACTTCTTATGCTCAGTGTACTTGGTTCTATAATTTAGGTAAAGACATGTGAAACACATAAACGCCTAATTACCAAGGGAACATGAACAACATGTGACTAAACTGGCAATTTATAATCTAAATTTCCTAATTAGATGAAATTCAAGTCAAAAGATTTAAGCAGTAAGGGTCTGTCACATGCATCCAAATAAAAATAATATCCTTGAGAAAGATCTTAATCTTGTCTGCCCTATTTAGTTTTATTAGAATAAGGATCAAGGTGAAAAGGACATAGGAGATTATCTACAAAAGCATCAGAAGTAGCCGCTCAGAAGAAAGGCATATCATTAAATCAAGAATGTTATCCATAAAGGGCATCTGGGACCATGAAACAAAACAATAGGCTCTACTCTAGACATAACTGAAGTCTACCCAGGACCTTTTAGCTGATGTTTGCTTTGCTGCTTACGCTGCAGTACATGGTGCTGCATTATGGCTATTCATCTATGCTCATCAGATTATTAAAAGATTAAACATCATTTTCAGCCCATCTAATTATTTGAGACACACCAAAACGAATCTTTTGAAAATGCAAACTTTGCTTGCTGTGTAGGGGCAAAATGTTTAAAAGGGAAAGCAAAAAAAAAAAATAGAACTATTTCAGAGCCCCAGCCCTATAGCATAAAGAACCTATACGTTTAATTATTTTGGGTCCATCAGCCATTGTCAGTTTTTTGGCCTAAACTCTTTGAGCATATTTTGTTTGTGAAGAAGTACTCAAAGAAATTTTAGATGACAAATTTTTTTTTAGAAAAACAGCACCAAAGATGAAAGTTTCTACGCAACCCTGGTATACCTGATTTCTTTTTAAATAGTGGCTGATTGCTTAGCACTTGATACTTTTTCCTGCTATTCACTCTTCAGCTATATGTACAGTTGGATTCACCAATAATATGATATGTAATATATGAAAGATACATCAAATGCTTAGCTAGATACTTACTTTTGCTTCCCACTCCATGCCTGCTACAGAGATACCCAACAAAATGACAACAGTTATTGCACCAATGATTCGGATGTCATTTATTTCATCCACCATGATAGCATTGTTATCCTTGGGAAAGGTAAAAAAATAAAACCACAAAATAAGTATATATATTCACACTCTATGTGCAGACTATTCTAGGAATTTCAGTACTACCACAATAATTTACCAGAAGCTCACCCCATTCCTAAAACACACTTAAGTGCAACACTCAAACGGTTTATAAGTCCCTTTAGTAAACAATATACAGAGTACAGAACAGGTCCTGTATGCGTTTAGTGTAAATAACCAAGTGCTGTTTCCAGCAGGTAATACCATGCTGCAGCTCTAGGTATAATGAACAGGCGTTTGTAAAACTGTTCTATTTAGGCACATTCCTGGATTGCAGCCAATGAATGAAGCTGATGACATCAACAAAGCACAGTGCTTCGGATTTTTATACTGCACATTTCTTCTGTGTCTGGCACTTGCTGTGACTACGCAGTGATGTGTACAAGAAAACATGCCTGTTATGTAGGGTGTTGGAAATGTGACATTCTGGAGACAGCATGAGGAATACACCCAATGCTACATTGTAACAATTATGACATATGGAAAATGTGTAGTTATTTCCTTTTACGTCCTGTATTTAACACTACAATATGCTCTATGTAAAATAAGCTATCATTTAATACCATGAAAATGAAATGAGAACTCAAAAGAGTATCAATGTCAGGGCAGACAGAGACATTTTTAATTCTTATCTTCAGATAATTGTCTTGTGTGCAGTGCAAAACCAAATCATAAACTGAAATCTCTGTTGATATTAAAAGGCTAGGACGGAACGTGGTTGAAAATGTTTCCTAATATTAGAAGTCATTGCACTTCAGGATGACAGTCAAGAGAAAAATGACATAGCACTGACTCTAGGAAGCAAACTCCTTTTCTCTGCATCCATATTCCAGAAAACACCTCACGGGATCAGAGGATTATACCAAACTCAGAGCATGATAACAGAGTCAACATTCTGATTTCAGCACAGTTGGAGTATTTGATTGGTAAAATTAGCAGCTCACTGCTTGCTTCTGTTTGTTGACTGGAAATGCCCTAAAGAATCTGGTAACTGTGTAACACCTGCCTATGGTACCTGGTAAAATGATGCTCTAACTGCAAAAAAACAAAAGGCAGGCAGATGGAATGTGGAGGTTGCTGGGCACAGTATGGAGGCTGCCAAAGTGTCTGCAAACAGCTGGGAGGAGACTGGATTAATCCGGGGGGAACACAGTGCCATGGGATAAAAATTACATGACTAGGATAAGTGAAAATTTATCATTTTCAACCCCAGCTCAGGGGCAAAGAACATTATAAATGGCATAAAAAATAAACCCTGACTGGTTTCCAAAAAGAAAACAAGACGACTTTGGTAGTGGTGTTGACCTTACACACTACAACAATATCTGTATAAAAAAGTCCTGGTTGCTAGGCTATGCATGATTTTTGAAGGCTTTACCGCGCTCACCTAAAACCTGATAAAGCCTACACGGAGTACCCACGGATTGAAAAATCGGCCAGTTCAGCAGGAACCAGCCAAATTCTGAAATTACAAAAACTGTAGCTGCTGACTTTGCATAAACAGACACTCACCTGTCCCAGGATCCAGCAATGTGCTTACCCGAGTCTTTTCTTCCTTCGGTCTTCTGTCCCCGGCATCCCAACTGTAGGCACCCAGCTGTGAGTTTGCGGCTTCACAGCCGAGTGCCCACTACGAATGCACAAGCTGCACTGCACATTGTGAATGGTCCCGCAGTCTTCTGGGATCTGCCACGTGTCCCAGAAGACTGCAAGGAGGGGGAGCAGAAGTCAAAATCAGGTACCCGCTAAACCACCTCCCCCCAAAAAAAAGTGCCATTTGGTGAAGAGTTTGAGGCCTTAAAGTGGAACCAGTAGCCCACTAGTAGAAAAAAAAAATGTGTGTTCCCATGTAAAGAGGTTTTATAACTGCTGGCTACACTGCTGCCTGTGCATAACACGCCACTGCAGGAGATGCCACTGTGTGCAAGTGTGGTATCCTGGGAAGTGCATGTTCCTCTGGAAAGGAAAAAGAAGCTGAAAGCAAAACTCTGGGAACAAATAACTTCAAATATCAATGCTCATCAAATGTTCCTAGTAAAGAAAATCTGGGTTTACATTGTTAAAAGAACATGAAAATCAACCTGCATCATAATCATGTCTGCATAGAGCCTGCGAAAAGTGCTGGGTTGTGAATGAAAATCTCCTTTCTTACCATATTGTTTCCTCTAATTAAGGTGGTCCTATTTGAGAGACTGCGTTTCCAAGTATTTTATTTCTGCATTCATTAGCTATGTGGGAAATTGGCTTTTAGCTGCAGCTTAAGGCTTGGTTCACACTGTCGTGACTCCAAATTCGTGCGACTTGCTTGCAACATTTGTGATTAAACATTGCAGTCTATGGCACTCAAGTCACACCAAAGTTGCTGGAAAGTAGTGCAGAAACCTTACATTGATTAGGGTGGCACTTCTTGAAATGAATGTGTTTTGACTTGTCTTTAGACTTTATGTGTTGCAAGTCGCACGATAAGTCGCAGAGTTATGAAACGGGCTAAGTGGTGCACTGGGAGTTCATCTGCACAGCAAAAGGACAAGAATGGATGGATGGACAAAGATCAGGAGATTCAGATGGTGGGACCACCCACTACAGGCACTGCCAACATAACAAAGGAAGAGGTGAAATCACTGTGGCATCACAAAATCGAAAGATTAAGGATTTATTTGACTAGTATATTAAAAGGTACTTTAGTTCACAAAGCAATGTTAATGGAGTGCTTGGGGAGTTTTAATTGGTTTTAATTTTTTTTTTTTTATGATAACGAACACTTATACATATGACAACGCTTGGATTAAGGTCACCAAGGTTTTTTTTATGCATTGATTACTGAGATGTATATTTATTGTGGTATTGGTTATTTATGTTTATGATATTTTGTGATATATTTATAGTATCAATAGTGGATATTATTATAATACAGGATTTTATATAGCGTCAGCATTTCGTGCAGTGCTTTACAATATAAAGATAAACCGTACAATTACAATACAGTTCAATACAGAAGGAATAGGAGGGCCCTGCTCATGCAGCTTACAATCTACATGAAGGGGAGGTGATACAAAAGATGATAGCTGAAGGGGATAATCTGGTGGAGGTAATTCAAGTACAGTTCTTAAGTGAAGGTGGGGTATGCTTCCCTGAATAAGTGGATTTTCAAAGATTGCCTAAAGGTGGACAGGATGGGGGCTTACTGGTCATACTGGGGAGGGTATTCCATAGGATGGGAAAGGTTCTGCAGAAGTCCTGGAGGTGGGCATGGGAGAAGGTGACAAGGGAGTTAGAAAGCAAGATGTCTTGGGAGGAGTGTAGCAAACAATTTGGATGATATCTGTGGATGAGTTTGGGGTTGTAGCTAAAGATAGTGTTGTGGATGGCTTTGCACATTGTGGTTACTATTTTGAATTTTATACGTTGGGCTGATGGAAGCCAATGAAGGGATTGGCAAAGAGGGGAAGCAGATGCTGATTAGTTGGCAAGGTGTATTAAATTTAGCAGCAGCATTCATAATAGACTTAAGGGGAGATAGCTCATGTAAAGGCAGGCCAGTGAGGAAGGAGTTGCAGTAACCAAGCGGGATATAACCAAGGCGTAGATAAGTTGTTTTTTGGTGTAGTTAGTCAGGCAGGGGTGAAGTTTGGAAACATTGCGGAGGTTGAGGTGGCAGGATTTAGCCAGTGATTGGATGTGAGGCCCGAAGGAGAGGTCAGAGTCTCGGATAATGCCTAGCACCCTGGCATGTGGGGAGGGACCAATGGTTGTGCTGTTCATCTTAACAGTAAAATTATGAGTGGGGGATCGGGGAGGAGGAATATTACATGCTCAGTTTTAAAAATATTGAGTTTGAGGAAATGTTGTTACATCCATACTGATATGTTGCTCAGTAGATTTGTGATACGTGAGGAGATCGAGGGGGTGAGCTGGGGAGTGGAGAAACAGATTTGGGTGTCATCAGCTTAGAGGTGGCATTGGAAACCATGGAAGGTTATCAATTGGCCCAGGGAGGAGGTGTAGAGAGAAAAGGAGGGGCCCAAGGACAGAGCCTTGGGATATCCCAACAAAAAGAGGGAGAAGAGTGGAGGAGTTGGTGTTGTATGTGATGCTGAAAGTGCACTGAGAAAGTTAAGAGGATAACCAGGAAGGAGCAGAGTCACGAAGACCAAAAAATGGCATTTACTGAGGAGGAGCGGGTGGTCAAGGTCTAAGAGTATGAGTATGGAGTAATGGCCATTGGCTTTGGCAGTTAGTAGGTTGTTAGTGAGTTTTAATAGGGCAGTTTCAGCAGAAAGTTGTGGGCAGAAGCCAGATTGTAGGGGATCAAGAAGGTTGTTGTCGCTGAGGTGGCAACTCATACGGTTGTGGACAAGGCACTCGAGAAGCTTGGAGGCAAACGGGAGCTGAGAGATGGGGCTTAAGTTATTTAAACAGGGGGGGTCCAACAAGGGTCTTTTAAGTATGAGGGTAACCTGTGCATGTTTGAGCAGGGAGGGAAAGGTACCGGTGGAGAGGGAAAGGTTGAATATGTGGGTTACAGAGTTTATGATACTGCAGGAAGGAGGCCGCAATATTTGTGAAGGGACAGGTGGTGAGGCGAGCCTAAGAATGGAATTTAGCAACCTCCTCGGTGGTAACAGAGCCAAAGGAGGAGAGTATTGAGTGTGGTGCTGGACCTGGTATGTTGGCTGGAGGAGGAAGCTTCACACTGGAGATCTCATCACTAATTGTATCGATCTTGTTCTTAAAATGACTGGCAATCTCCTGTAAGTTGTTGTTGGATGGGGGCAGTGGGGGATGACATAAGGAATTAAGGGTATAAAAGAGTTGACAAGGATTAAATGAGAGGGTTTTGATGAGAGTGTTGTAGTAGGTTTGTTTAGCAGCGTGGAGGCTGGAGTTATATTTGAGAAGGGCGGATTTGTAGAGGATGAAGTCTTGCAGGGATTTTTTGAGCGCTGCACATATTTATTTTATTTATTTGTTTATTTCTAAATGTGGAATCAAAAAGCTGGTGGTAGCTAGCTCAAAAGCACAGACACACACATTTTTACTTAAAAGTACACAAATACAGATTTGATCTTGCTACGCTGGGATGTTGTTTATGTATATTATCAGACTTTTTTAGTTATAACAAAAGTTTACACCCCAGTTCAGGAAAATGTATTATTAAGTATTCATCGATTAAAACCATTCAATTACCTACCTGCAGTAATTCCACAACAGTTTCAGCGAATCCCACCACATACATCGAAACTGCAACAGCATTCGCAAATGCAAAAATCAGTCCTATTGCACCTCCAAATTCTGGTCCCAAACTTCGAGATATTAGGTAGTATGCACCTCCTACAAACAAAGAAAAATAGATTGACAACTACTGTAACTTACTTGTATGCAATGAACTTACACTGATATAAAAAAGGTATGCAATCATTTATATAGAATACTGCATAAATATTTTAAGCAAGCAATTATAGTGAATATTAAACAAAATAACACAAAAGTAACTTTTAATGTAAATTAAACCCTTAGACAGCAGCTATATTTAAGTCACGTATATGTTAGAATATAAAAAGATGTCATTACTTAGATACTAAGGAACTAATTGTAGCATACCTTAGCAAAAAAAAAAAAAATAAAAATAAAAAAATAATAATATAATATATATATATATATATATATATATATATATATATATATATATATATATATATAATGTATGGCTAGCTTAAGTCAAAGGGAGGTGAGGATCCCTGGACCAAAAGGCTTGCTGTGCTCTACTGCTAGGAACAGCAATGAGGTTCACCACCAGTCCTACTGGAAGCATTGACTCAAAGTAACTCCAGTAGAATTTCAGTAATGCTCTGAGTTGCACTGTAGCAACAGTGGAGCAAGATGACAAGCATTTCTGGCCTCTAGATCATATAGGGGGTCACTAAATGTGTTTAACGCTTTAAAGTAAAGTGTAAATACAGTTAGAAGCTACTCTGTCTTCCAACCACAAGGGCTTTCCCACTACAGCTGGCAATAAAAATATAATACCTCCAATACATTTGTACTGCCTGGCCTTCCTAGGTCTGTGCAGTGTTTATACGGCCCGGAACAGTTTACTCTATGACCCTTTCCAAGTGCGTGCAGTGAACAATGCTTTAAGCAATAATGGCACCAGCGGTGTAAACACCAGCACAGTCTTGTAAACATTGTATGGCACTAAACAAGCTATGAAGTCTGTATGCATTAGAGGCATGATTTTTTAAATCAATGGGATGGAGGAAGATTCAACTACTTCTACACTGGCCACACTCACACACATCTCCAACCTGTGTATTCCCTTTAATGTTTTAAAAGTCAAAAGGTATAATTTATTTCAGGAACGAAATTCCCATACCTCCATCTGATTCTATTAAGTACACTGCGGATAGCTGAACTGTGCCTGGTTTGTTAAAAGGAAGGAAAATCTGTGTTTATTTTTAGGAAGAGGATTGCAGAGTATGTTCATGTCATAACTGTGTGATCTGTTTTATGTGACTTTGTATCTGGTAATGCATTCAGTCACATGCCCTTAAAGCTGAACTCTAAGCAAAAACAACATTGATTATTGCATAAAAAAGTGAGAGTTTTAAATGCATTGGTTTAAGTATGTGCGTACCTAAATGTGAGTTAGTGAGTTAGTTTAAACGGAAAAACTAGTTTTAAGCCAACCATAGATGGTTCAAATTGCTGCTGAACTGGCTAAAATTCAAACTATCTATTGACAGGCTGATTGGATCCAATTAAATTGTTGTACGACTTGGGTACAACCAGCATGTCGGATCTTACATGCGATTATTGCCAGCGGCTATAGTCGCTAGCAATAATCGCTGTGTTGTCCCAGCAGGGACGGCTTCCCCTACCGGGATAAAAGAATAGCTCCTCAGGAAGGATTTCTCCCATCAACACTGACTGTGTTGATGGGGAACTGAGCGATTTTCTTTCCAGAAACCCATGATTGCAGGAAAGAAAATCGCATCGACCATGGCATGCCTTACCCTAAAGTATAACAAGGGCTGACAACCAACAACCTGCTAATTAGATGAACCAACAATTCTACAGTGTCTGTAGAGGTCAGACTTTATTTGATACTGCAATCATGTAAGCTGCAGTTGTGGCATTACCATTCTGGCAATTGCCTGTTTGGTAGAGGCACAGAGAAAAGGTAAGCACTTCTGACAATCTATACTATTTGGGGTGGAAATTTCATTAGAACAAAAACTCCTAATTTAACATCAGTGATGTTATTGTTGAACAATCAGCAATGAACAAAGTAAAAATTTCTACATTTCCTAAATTTCCATAACTCCAAATGTCACTGGATCATTTTAAAAGTTAACCTTGTATATTAAAGTGCACAGTTACTTGCTGGCTAATGGTTGATTGCACATACAAGGTCGCTATAGTATGTTTGCAAACAGTGTGAAAAACACTGGCTGCCAGTGAAAGAAGCAGAATGTTCAGCATGCTTCTGATAGTACATGATAACCCAGCCCTGTGTGGCCTTTGTATGGGACACAATTATCAGCAACACTACTGGTCCTAACAACACCGGAAGGTGAAAAGACAGGCAATGGTGGAAATACACAAAAGCACAACTCTCACTGGCTTGTAGTCAGCTGCAACCATACAGAAAACGAAACCACTTTCACATGCCATCTATAGTATAGTCTTGTCTTGTTTTGTTTTACTTCTCTTTTATCAGTCCAAAACTTGTGAAAGACAGTTTGCGAACAAATTCAAAATGAAAAGTTAGAAAACCATTTACAGTAAGCTTTACAGACAATGCAAGCATCGGATGATTATGGCCTTATTCAGTAAAACAATGCACAGAGCAAAGCCTTTGAAGCTGCATTTTACATTTATCTTCTTCTGGTCTGACTTCAGTAAAATGAATTTTGGATAGCTGCTTTGTGCTTCCTTCACTATGTAGTTATTGACCGGCTCCTGCAAGGATTTATTCTACAATTTTGTATAATGTGCTACAAAGTTGTAATGCTAAATCCAAAATAAATTCTCACACATCAAATGCACAGTTGATCCTAATTAGTGCCAATTTAGGAATAAATACAGTGTGAGGGTTATTTATAAAAAAAAAAATGTATTGTTAATTTAATCTATAGATTTTGAAAATAATATGCAAGATTCATTAAAATACAGAGCACTGTGAAAATATCAGCCTATGGACGTCTTTTTTTTTTTTTTCTTGGAATACTGTATGCATACTGTACGTTAATTAAGATATACAACATTTTACTAAACTGCAATATCAGTTCTAATGTGCTCTCATTTCTTTCCAAACTTGTTCACAAAGCAGCACATGCTAAACACTCTGTTTTAAGGCTTGATCACACTATATGGCATATCACAACTCCCTGCCGGAGGCGATCCAATCACTAGGCTGCATGATAAAATGCTGCATTTTACTGTGCAGACTAGAGTGAACCTAGCCTTAGCAAGTTGGTTGCTGTCACTACATAGACACTGAGACTGCAGTGAAGTGCTTGTCTCAGTGCACCACACTGATTACTTTTTTTTCTTTTTTTATTTGAAGCATCACAAAGCAACACCCCATTCATATCTCTGCACAGCAATGTGGTATAATGCGCTGCATTGACATACGGTGCCTTCCAGTTTTCTGCAATAAAAGACAATGTCTGCATTTGTCCACAGCCCACTTCAGAGCACCTCCTGTCTGCATTGCAGTGTGATTGGGTAACACAGAAAACAATTGTTTCTTTGTGCCCTAGCAGTGGCCTGCATTGATCCAGTGAGGAAAAAATGCACTGTGCATAAACAAGTTGTCTGTTTGGTATTCATTAGGTCCAGTGTATTCCCTTTCATACATGACATGCAATTTACAACAAAAACCCAGAAAATTTCAGGCTGCAGAATATTTACTGGTAGCTTTGTTCAGATTTGGGCTCAATTCTCAAAGCTTTGAGTAGCCTCAAATTTAGGTGGTAAAAAGCATGTCTGAGATGGCACAAATGCCTCTTGATTCAGGTGGATCAACAGAAAACCTATAGAATACCTTCCCCAAGCAGTACCTCTTCTACAGTTCACCCCTGTGTTATGTCTACAGATTAAAAAACCCCACCATCAATAGGGTGTCTCTTGTTTATATATATGGTCCTATAGAAACATTTTAAAAAATGTATTATTTAAAAAAAATTAAATATTGACAGAGGAAAGACAATAGACATAAAATGTATTTCTTGTAGATTACTATGTCTCTGCCAGAATGCAGAAGGATGCAATGCATACTGCTTGCTGTCAGCTAAGTGCTTTTCAATATGCCGGAAGTTTTAAATGCTGCTGAGGAAAGCTATTCTTAAGATGTGAATATATAATGTATGAGCCTTGCCTGGCTCCAGCAGGACAAGCTCCAAAACATCAGAGAGCACTGAAAAGTACAGTAGTCTGAAGAGTGCTGAACAAGGACTAGAAATATCAACTGGTCAAGGTCTTCATTACTAGAATGTAGTTTGCTTGTAAAGTTCACTACCTAAACTTCAACTTATAGTGAAACCCAGAGCTACTAGAGTGACAAAGCCCTGCAGTGATATCAAGACCAAAATGGCAGCAATAAATCCAATTTTAAACATTGCTCAAAGTGGTATTGAGGTCGTAAACTGAAGATTTGTAATGTTATAATGAAATAAAGTAAAATAATGGTGCCTAAGCAATACTCTGAAAAATTAACTTTTTCTTGCATTTATGCACTAAAATAGCAGTGCATTTCCTGGTATGTAAGTGTGCCTAGGCACTTCTATGTAGTTGAAAAATCAGCAGCATGAGAGCAAAGGCACTGTTGTCTCTGGCTGTTAGTCTTAGGATATGGAGTGAGATTTGGTGATCAAGGTTATGACATGAGGAAGCATATTCCCTGCCTCTACCAAGATGGCTGCTTCCACACAGAGAAACTAAAACAGAACAGGGCATTGTAAATCCCAGTACATAAGATGAGAATATCAGACAAATGATCGTCTGTTTTTTTTTTTTTTTTGCATGCTAGTCTCATATCGAAAGTAAAGTGGTTACTAAAGTTACAAAAATTCTTGTACGACAGAATAAAAATTCTAAAGTGATGTAATGTATTGTATATTCCGACAAAAACTGTGAGGAGTAAACGAAAATTGTACGATCTGGTATTGTACGAGAAAAAATGTTGTGCTTGTCCCTTTGAATAATTTATGACGAAAGCTGTGTAACAATGATCAGATTATCGTATGATCGCTTTGAAAGAGGTATTTTTTGCACAATTTTGTGATCGTGTGTACTTGGCTTTTCCTCTCCCAGCTTTTTTTGGGCACAACTTTCAGTTCAGTTCCTCTTTAACATAACAAAATGTTAAGTGAGGTTTCCTAAAAATGTATGTATTGTAGCCTTTTTGTTCTTTGTTCTTTAGATCGGGGTCTCCAAACTGCAGCTCAAAGGCCAGATGTGGCCCTTCGCTAGCCTTTATCCAACCTTTGGGGCACTATTCCTCCCAATGATATGAGACACTATTCCTCCCCCACTGACACCAACAATGGGGCACTACTTCTTCCACTGATACCAATGATGGTGTACTATTCCTCCCACTAATACCAATGATGGGGCACTACGCCTCCTCCTACTGACCACCAGCCCTGAGGCTATGTTTATTCTCACTGATACTGGGCCCTGGACATTTTCTACTGTCACTGGCCACAAAAAAGAAAAAGGAAAACATCACAAAGAATGTAAAGCACCGGATAAGGCAGTGTTATAGAGATAAATGAGAAGTTGGGATGGTGGTGGTAATGAGGGATAGTTTACCTAAAGGTGTTTGAACATTACATTAGTGGCTTCAATTTTCTGGTTGCATCTTGCAGATACTTTTGATTCATTGTGAGTCAACCAAACAGTCTCCCCAGCAAAAATCTCTGCAGTCTGTTTTCTAAAAGGTATACCTAAAATTCTCATGGTGGACACAGACTATGTAATCTTTGCTAAAGCTACAGACCACATGAAAAAAACATAAAAGCAACATTTTGTTTTTATTGATCTTGTGAAACGGTTAAATTTTTACTAATAAATAATCTGATTTGGAAATCAGAATGAATTCACAAACAGAACAGATGAAGGAAAGTGCACAAAAAAGTTTCACCTTTCATATGCCTTTTTTAAATTTGGTAACACTTTTGGGTATTTTGTTTAGCACCTGAAATTGGCAGGTATTTAGCTGTATTCAAATTTCTTTAGGGCAGGAGCAAATATGCCATTTGAGGATTTAGAGTTCTAGGTACGCAAGTTATATACATATTATCCCTTGTTGTATTCTGTGGATAAATTAATTTGTGTATTTAAGGCTTTGTCACAGGACTAGCCTAGTTGACTTACTGTATGCCCACTAGAGCTCACAGGAACTGACTAGTTATGAGTCCAAAAAATAAAATAATAACTGGTATTTTACATTGCTGAGCAGTATCAATGGAGAAACATTTCCTGCATTGCTTGTAGGACACTACTGATAGCTCTAGTTACCCTTACCCCAAGAGAGAAGAGAAGGGGCAAAGAGCAAATACTACATAGGTGTAAACAAACCCTTAGTTTAGCCTTTCTATACAAGTAAAAGGATACAAAAGGACAAAAGTTTCTGGATGTCACCCTATCAGCTATTTTAACTGCCTTTGAACACCAAGAAAAATAGTTTAATTTCCGTTCCCAGAAAAAAGTCCTCGGAACACCTGTTAGTCTCAACTTAGGGGGCATAGCTGTTGTTATAGGCCTGAAGCGCTTGGCATGAAATAAATACAGTCATTTGAGTCACTCACACACAGGCAACATAACATAATAAAACACATCCTGTGGATCAAAACCACTTATTACGGGAAAATGTTGTTTTGTTGAATTAAAAAAAAAAAGAAATGACGTCAAGAACATTGATGCTACTTCTTAATCAGCCGAAGCAATGTAGAGAACAGTACAGATCAAACAAACATTTTGAAAAATGAGATATTTCAAGTTCATGCATTATATTTACCTCCTCTCACAAACCCGTTTGTAGCGATGGCTGAAGTAGACAATCCGGTAATAGTTGTCACCACAGTGGCCATTGCAATGACTAGAACACTTAAACCTGTGAAAGAATAAAGGTATAAAGAAAGTTGATGAAACAACACAAGTTCACTGCAAATTTCCAAGATAAAATGGACAGGAAAGTGGTCTGTAAAAAAAGATCTAATGCAATACAAATTCTGGGGGCTTATCCAAACTGAATATATTAGTGAAAGGCAGTGAATGTAGTGGGAGAGGTTGTTCTTACACACTGCTATCTTCCTGTTGCTAGTTATCAAAAAATTCCAAACCTAGCCAGTTCTAGAGGGCAAAAACTGATAACTTTGTATGTCTGCCTCAGCAATGTTACTAAACTGAACAAATATCAGACATCACAAGCTTTATGAACAATTCCTCCGACGCAAAAAATTTAGTAGCGTAGGTGTGATGTGTCTGCCGACATTCAGACTGCATTCTGATCCAAGAAGAACACACCGTTACATCCCTATCCTCCTAAATTCTCCGATTCCAGGAGAGCATTAGTAGGCAAGACTGTGGCTCCCATTCTGATGCATACAGTTTACCCAGTTCACCAAAAATATTTTCACAGATGTGGAACATAAACTTCATAGGCCATATGAAACTCTTTAAAAGATGTATCTTTAATAAGACATTCAGCAATCTGAATCAAATACAAACATAATGGTTTAGGCATACTTGCAAACAGCCTGTTTTTCTTTTTTTTAATAAAAAAAGGTTTATATTTACATGCCCTATGCAACAATACTGCACAGAGCTGTCCTTTACCTTTTCTTTAGTGGTCCCCATCCGTTGCTGTTCGTATCTTCTTCCTCCAGGTACTCCATAGCAAGCAATGTTCTATGGGGGCAGATGTGCGGGTATACTCCCAGGCCAGGCTGTGTGCGTCTATAGACACACACAAGCAGGCCACTACCCCTTCTCCCTAATCACAGGATTTGACTGACAGAAGCAGGAGGCTATGGCTCCAGCTGCTACCTGAGACTCCTGTGAGAACAGGGAGTGAAGGGAAAAGACCTGCAACCATGAAAGCGCTGGATCAATCAGAGACTGGTAAGTGTTTAGAGACAGGAGGGCTAAAGCACAACAAAATGTTTTTGTTTGTTTTTTTTACCTTAATGCAGGGAATTCAATAAGGTAAACAATGCCTATATTTTAGAATCACTTTAACTTTTGCTGTGAATGTAGTTGCAGAACACCACTATCAATTTAAATTTGACCTAAAGACACCAGAAGAGACCACATAACATTTTGGTGTAGACTTAAATACAGTATTATGAGTTATGTTATTACTTCTGTAATTCAAAGCCAATGCAACACACATGTAAACATAGTCCTGTGTGTGTTGCATTACGAATTTGGATTTAATTTAAAATCAAAGAAAAACAATTTTATTTTTTTTTTTTACAAGACAACCCTGCCCATGTTTCTTTTGTATCACAAATCCTCTTTCTTCAAACAGGATTCAGCTAGCATGTGAACAAAGTATCTGTCATATATAACAAAGCTTTTCTTCTATTTGCAGGAAATACATCAAAGCCCCCTTTTTGGCAACATGGCAAAAATTACTTTTATATTACTCAGGCTTGTCTGGAATTTCAGAAGTGGGTTATACATTCGAATGTCTTAGGTAACCTAAGGCTACAATAAGTGAAATAAACTTCTGCGCCTACTAAGTGATATACAAAGTAATAAATACAGTGACAGGGATATTTGGAGAATGCAAAGAAATTGCGTCAGACTCTGATAGCCGGCTGCTGTTACCTAGTGAAACGGAGGATTTCTAAGACCACCTTAAAGCAGAGCTCCACCCAAAAGGGGAAGTTCCGCTTTAAGCCTTTGTCCCCCGCTCCCCATTAAGGATTGGCATTTTTGGGGAGCGGGTACCCAAATTTGACAGGTACCCGCTCCCACTTCTGCTGCGATCGTGTAGGCGATGGGAAGGGGAAGTTGTCCTCCCTCCCTGTAGTCTTCTGGGACACGTGACAAGTCCCAGAACACTATGGGGCCATTCACAAAATGCAGTGCTTCTTGAGTATGCGCAGTGGGCACCCGGCTGCGAAGCCGAAAGCTGTCACAGTCGGGTGCCCACACTGAAGATGCCAGCGCCAAGGAGGAAGACAGCCGATGAAACCAGCGGTGGTGAGGACACCACTGGACCAAGGGACAGGTAAGTGTCTGTATTTTAAAAGTCAGCAGCTATAGTTTTTGACCAGGTGGAACTCCACTTTAACATCTATTATATAGGAGGAGGAGTGGACAGCCCCTAGTGACTAAAGGAGATATTGATCTACTGTGGAGATGTCTTATTTATCACGCAGCTTTGCATGCGTTTGGAGGTGAGAGTTCTGAGAGCAGAGGAGTGACACCAATTAATGCATGGAATTCACATTTAGCACGGATTTTTTTTGGTAATGGATTGCGTTATATTTGGAATATGAACTTTACACACATTTCTTTGGAGCACTTTAATAATAGTTTATTTTTTGTGTATTAAAGTATGATATTTGTATTAATTTATATATTTAGATATTATGAGCACTTTGTATTCACCTTGGTTGTTTATTATGATGGATTGATAGGTATTTAATACTCTGCAAGCAGCGCTACATCATTTCTATTTTATTTCTAACCTATGGCTACATTTAAACCAATCAGTTTTTTTGGCATGTTTTGTTTTTTCACTGAAGAAGTGATGAAGAATCTCTATCACATAATAAAACATAAAAAGGCTTTACAAAAAAACATAAAGGACCTACCGATTCCAGCTTGTCCAACAATCCATGACAACCGGATGAACAACATCACGCCCCATATATTCAGCATGCATCGTACCTACAGACAGAGCACATGAACCACAAAAAGTAAAATGCATTCCCCACTATATAGAAAGTGGTAATACTTGAAATAGTTACATGGCCAGATTTAATTAAAGCTTAGTGAAGTCTTAAATGTTAAAGTAAAAATGTGAGTTCAGTCAGTAAAATGATAGTGATGGATGTATTTTTAACACTAATTTAAAGACTCCGAACAACCCTTATGCACCACAGTATCTAAAAAAAGAAACCTGTACAGTTCATTGCAACAAGTCAAATATGACTTTCTAAACTGCCCTAGTATAATCACAGATGGAAATTCAGTAGCTAATGGTAACAAAGAGTTCTTCTTTTAGACCCTAAGCTATTTCAATTCACCAGTCTACTGTGCAGATTTGGAAATCTGGGTATGTGAAATGACCAGGCACTTCAATTAAGAACATGCAAATGCAGCCATCTGGAAACTGAGCACACAAACCAGAAGTTACTGGCTTACTAGATCTTCAGATTTAAAGTGGAATTCCAGGCACCACCTAACTAATCTTAAAAATGCTCCCTCTGCCTTCCTAATATCTATTCTGATTAACCTGTATACTTACCCATTATCAGGTCACGTCAGTCATGTGATCTGGCTCCCCTTTGGCAGCCATTGTGGCTTTAGGAGGGAGGAGCACAGGGGGTGGTGGGAGTTGGGGGTTGGGTTGAACTTTAGCTCTGCTCACCTAGATGAGTTAGTAGGAGTGGAAACAGGTAGACAGTAGTGGAAATTGGGTACCTGTCAAAAATTAGTAGCCACTACTAGAAAAAAAAAAAAAGTAAAAAAAAATGCTCCCATTAGTGATAGAGGAGCGGGGAAAAGGAGGATAAGTGGTACTTTCTTTTTTAAATAAAGTTCCGCTTTAATATAGCAGACATGAGCATCTTTATATACAGTCATGGGAAAAAAGTTCAGTACGCCTAATAGCAATTGTTGAATTTTTTTAAACATAATAAAACAAGCAAATATAAGATCTTCATTCAAACAGTGCAAACAAATAAAGCTGATGTACTCGATCAATCGATACATAAAATGGATTGGTGTATTAATTCTCATAATCGGCAACTGAAGATGGAACCTTTCTTATTTAACCCTTCAAATATCTAGGGCATAGTGTTCTCTTTGATACTGACAGGTGTGGTGTCGTCATGCTAAGATCAAAGGTCCCCTGAAAGAAGGTTGTAGAGTTTGGCAATATATTTAATAAATTTTTTTGGAAACAAGGGAAATAATGTAGAAGTAGTGTAGATTTCACACTGTTAATTTATCCAGGACTTGCTAGCCCAGCAAATTCAGCCCATGAGCTGACTGTGGTATACTAAAAGAAGTCTTTAAGAACTCCCAACATTCATTGTGGGATCTGTAAGTAACTTTGGCAACAGTTATCAAAGTGACTACATCTACAATTAGAAGAGGTAGAACCAAGTTAATCCACATAGGAGGTGTCAGGAAAAAAGCTTTGCTGCCCAAAAAGACCATTAGAACAAATCTGCTGTTTGGCATTGAACATAGAGGACCAGGCCTTCTTGAACAATGTACTGTGGAGAGATGTTATGGTTGGGTTGCTTTACTGCTTCAAGGTCTGAAGAGCTTCCAGTCATAAAGTCAGCTATGAAACCTACATCTTACCAAAGTGTGCTTGAGGAGAATGTGAGGCCATTTGTCTAAAACGTGAACTGCACATGGCTCTTTCAACACAAAAATAGGGATCACACTAGGCAAACCCACTGAGGAATAGCTCAAAAAGAAGTAATAAAAGGTTATGGAATAACCTAGTAAAAGCTTTTATCTGAATCTCACTGAAATGTTTTGGTGGTGAGATTAAAAAAATTGTGTAGTTTAAGTAAGGAAACCTATGAACATCTTCCAACTGCAGGAATTTTGCATGGTGAAGTGGTTAAAAAGTAGTCAAGTCTGTGATTAGCGAGGAGTCAAGCAAAATGCTTCTTCCTGAATTCTTGGGAAAGGGGTTTTTTCCCCCAACAGATGCCAGTGGTGTTGTACTGTGCAAGAACGAGATGGAACGTTTGAACAATATCAAAAGCATTTTAAAAATGAAGAGATCACAAGGATAAAGGGAAGTATGATTAGTTATTTTCTCCCTATTCAGATATACAGGTTTATAGGGTTGGGATGAGGGGAAGGTGGGGTCTTCTGTCCTCTAACCACGCTAGTTACAGATATCTTGTATTTAAACTGACTTTTGAGGCTTTGGAGAAGGAGCAGCAAACTTACTCACCAGTACACCTTTGATCCAGCCAAATTTCACAACTCCTTTACTCTCTGCAACATGATTGGTCACAGCATCCCCAGTTGGTGTTCCTTCTTCTCCATTGGCAAAACCATCTTCGAATGGTTCCTGAAAGAACAAAATACATTTGATAAAGGATTGTACACCCGAGTTTCATTAACAACATGAATCTAATGCACCCTTTTCATTGCAAGATATTCAATTACCTCCCTTCTGATGCCAACAAGACAACTCTTATAAACGTATAACATATAAACAATGAATATAATGTACTGCCATGTCTCCCATCATACTACCGTAATTTTTAATTGATCAAGACCCTACAAAGCATTGCATCCTTACAGTACGGTACATGTCAGCTCAAACTATGAGACATCTATAGTCTAGAAATGTTCACTAAAGGCAGTAGGTTTATAGATTTCTCTCAATATACACAACATTACATTACAAAGGCCAGCGTTGTTCTAGTTTGCAAAATGCTTGCTATATCTGAACCCTTTATGGGATTTGATGTACAAAGTTACTATGCAATCTAATAAATTCTTTTAGGAGTTTTAGGCTTCTTTGTGATAAGAAATCAGAGTTTTACATTCTAGTTTTTAATTCTATTACAGGTACTTATACAATGCCGTAAATTTACGCAGCGCTTTACATATATACGTTGTAAATTCGCATCAGTCCCTGCCCTCAAGGAGCTTACAATCTATGGTCCCTAACTCACATTCATACATACACATACTAGGCCAATTTAGACAGGAGGCAACTAACCTAACAGCATGTCTTTGCAGTGTGGGAGGAAACTGGAGTACCTGAAGGAAACCCATGTAGGCAAAGGGAAACCAGACTCCAGGCAGGTAGTGCTGTGGTTGGGACTCAAACCAACTACCCTAGTGCAGCCAGGCAGAAGCGCTAACCACTTATCCACTGTGCTGCCCCAAATTTGCAGCCTATCCTACAATTTGAGTATTTTTATACAGTATATTAGGATTTTTTTTTTTCTTTTTTTTTTTTTTTACGGTTATCTGTGGTAATCATTTACGGAGGTTTGGTTTTGTGTTTTTTCGAAATTGTGCACTTTATCACATAAGTTCAGATGTTTTGGGGTTTTTGTTTTCGAAAATTAGGTTAAAGTGACTGAACGCAATTTTTTTTTAAAATAACAATCATGTCATACTCGTCTGCTCTGTGCAATGGATTTGAACAGAGCAGCCTCGATCCTTCTCTTCTCAAGTCCCCTGCCAGCACACCTGGCTAGAGCCATTCAAACAGGAAGCATGAACTTTCCTGTTTGCAGACCTGTAGCTCTGACTTAACAGTGAATGTGTTGGACCCTTGCAGAGAGACTACTGTTTCCACATAGAGAACAGGGTGGCTTCTCTACAGCATAATGTCAGGGGACAGGCTATTCTACATGAGCAGCCATGGCTAGGACAGCAAGACTAATGGTTCTGGAATTAAATGAACACCGGAGGCCACAGCAGTCATAATAATGTAAATATGCATATGTGGAGGGAGGATGGGTTAGATCAGGGCAAAGGGGCTAAAAGGGTACTTCTCCTTTAAACGTTCTGCAGGACAAATTAAAAACTAAACACGGTTTATTTGTAATGATGTGTAGTTCTCTTAACTGCAAAACAGTTTGGATCTGGAGTCTACTGACAGACTGAAATGCAATTATATTACCCAATGAAAAACTTGCAATCAGTGACAGCAGTATAGTGTGGACCAAAACTGTTGAAGTTCTAAAGGATATGAGTAGATAAGAAGGGACTTGGTGTACTGTGTATAGTCAGCATATGGTAAATTGCAAAATCAGTAAAGAAAATTAATAATCTAAAAAAAAAAAAAGTTAAAATGTTTGCTACTAACGCCAAGCTGTACAAGGAAACACGGCAGCATGAATACATGACCTTAATGATTCATTAAGCCCGGGGTGACCCTAAATCACCAGACGCTGAATTGCCCACACTCACAAAGATTAATAGAGAACTTGACCTCAATCCTGCCCAAATATGGCCTAAACCTAATCTTGGCACTGACACAGGCCATTAAACGTCTACTAAACAGACATGACAGAACATATATAATAAGCCTCCTTTGGCCTAAAATGGCTGATAACATAGAAAATAGGTCACATGAAGATGCCCAGGCAATATAAAAATAAACATGTTACTCCACGCTTTGTTAAAAAAAAAAAAAAAAAAAAAAAAGATGGAAGCATGTACATCCTTATAAGATTTATAAGTGTCAGCAGTATCCCTTTTACAAATTTTCCATTAGTTTCAACTTGTAAGAGTGAGCCCGTTTATTGAACAAGATGCAATCCCTAAGCCTAAAGCAAGCATAGTATCTTGAAGTCTATAAAGGAAAGCACAATGTACACAGTGGTGCTGTGTGAAATAGATTATGCCCTGCAAAGCACACTGTGTACACAGTGAAATATACAAGCGTGTTCAAAATAATAGCAGCCCAACATCACTAACCAGACCAATCACTATTTTTGGTATAAATTATAATCCTACATGGCAAATAATTTACTAGTAGGTGTAGTAGAGTAATAAAAAACCAACCGACCCAACAGTCATGCCATGAATGCTGCTGATGCTTTGCAATTGAATCATTAATTGAAAAGGGTGCGTTCAAAATAATAGCAGTGTGGAGTTCAATTTGTGAGGTCATTCAGTCTGTGAAAAAATAGGTGGCAATTATTGCCCTTATTTAAGGATGAAATGTTGTACATGCTGGGTATAGCGCATTTCTCTCTGAAAATCTGAGTAAAATGGGTCGTTTCAGACATTGTTCAGAAGAACAGCGTACTTTGATTAAAAAGTTGATTGGAGAGGGGAAACCATATAAAGAAGTGCAGAAAATGATAGGCTGCTAATGATCTCAAATGTTTTAAAATGGCAACCAAAACCAGAAAGACGTGGAAGAAAATGGAAAACTACCATTTGAATGGATCAAAGAATAGCCAAAATGGAAAAGACTCAAAGCCAATGATCAGCTCCAGGATTATCAAAGGAGGTCTAAAGTTAACTGTGAGTACTATAATAATTAGAAGACACCTATGTGAAGCTAAGCTATTGGCAAGAAGCTCCCGCAAAATCCCTTTGTTGAAAAAACGATATGTGCTGAAGAGGTTACAATTTGCCAAACACATTGACTGGCATAAAGAGAAGTGGCGCAACATTTTGTGGTCTGATGAAAGCAAGATTGTTCTTTTTGGGTCTAGGGGCCACAGACATTTTGACAGATGACCTCCAAACACTGAATTCAAGCCGCAGTACACTGAATAAAGTTAAGCATGGTGATGCAAGCATCATGATATGGGGATGTTGTTGGGCAACTTTATCGCATACCAGGGATCATGGATCAGTTTGAATACATCAAAATACTAAAATAGGTAATGTCACCCATTTCATGGGCATTTTCTCTGCGGCATAAGATGTTTCAACAAGTCAACATCCCCAAAACACACCAGTAAACGAGCAGCGTCTTTGTTCCAGACCAACAAGATTAACGTTATGGAGTGGCCAGCCCATTCCCTGGACCAAAATAGAAAACTGGTGGGGTGATATCAAAAATGCAGTTTCTGAGACAATACCAAGAAATGCACAGGAATTGTAGAATGTTGTGCAATCGTATTGGGCTGGAAAACCAGTTCACAGGTGCCAGAAGTTGGTTGATTCCATGCAACACAGATGTGAAGCAATTCTCAGAAACAGTGCTTATTAGTTCGGAGATTCACAGGAAAGCTCAGTATTTTTCAGTTTATACAGTAAATGTTTGCATTTTTACAGAAAAATGCAGACAGTGCTATTCCTTGGTCTTGGTCACTCAATTTTGTTCTTACAAATACTATACTAATTACACAAAAGTTGTTTACTCTGTTATTTCACAAGAAATTTTTATGCTTGTCCCTTTAGGTATTTTCGCATGAACTGTCGTGATTGGCTTTCGAAACCAGTGTACTAACAAATAGATTATCAGACGCATTTTTTTTTTTTCATTTGAGTTTCTTATCGTGTGTAACAGGCATAATAAAAAAAGGCCTGCCTGTTTTGGCACAGGAATGATGGGTGTAACAAAACCTCTGACCTTTATACTGTATCTTCTGTGTTTTGTCTGTTTTCCACTTCCTTCATCCACCTGCTCCTCTCTTTCCAATCTTGTGCCACCTCAATATTACACCTTTTTTGTCCTTTCTACCCAGCAGTGTCCTGCTCCATCACTGCCATAGTGCTGGTCTTTATATCAGAGTGCACCCTTTAGTGGTCAGAGGGGGATCATCGGACAGAGTGAGGAAGTGACAGGTCCGTATCCACTGCAGCCCACTCTGCACCATGGGCTGTCAGATGTAAAATGGACTGGCTGTCCGATACACCCAACTGCCCTCCGATCCAATCTGCCCAGAGAGGGGAGAATGAATCCCCTTCCATTTGTTTTTAGCGGATCAGATTGAAGGTAGGTGAGTGTAAACAGACACAAGCCTGCACAAGCATGTTTACATCTGCCACTCCATAAAGGCCAATTGAGGGTCCAATGGGGTCCGCCTGAAAAATGGATGGGCGGACCCGAGTAGACAGATTGCATTAAAGGAGTTGTACAGTGCTGCCCCTAATCCCTATCCTGATCTTTAACGATCCCTCCCGTATGTCCCAGGCTGCAGCTCCATATAAAAAGAGAAAATAGCCTCATTATAAGTATGGCAGCATTCATTTTTGTTTTTTGTAGCTTGTATATTAAGTTTTACTGCTCATTATTATTTTGCACAATAAAAAAAAAAAAAAAAAAAAAGAAATAATTTGAAATGTTGCTTGATAGAAGTCTTACTAATCAACAGAAAAAGGGTGGGAATCCTGACATGCCATCCCTATTACTTTTGTAGGATACATGACTAGGCACGCTGGCCACCCTGCGGTCTCTTCATGGAATATAGAACTATTTAGATGAACTGACAGAACACGGAAGCTTGTCTTTATTAATTGTAATATGACGTGTTAAAAAAAATTAAGGCGACTTAGAGCTCTTAAAAGAAAAAATGTGTTTTATACAGATCACATATAAGAAAATAGTAATAATCCAAGTTCTTCTAC